GGGTCACGTGACATGGAGCAGAGGTGGGCCCAGGGAGTCCCCTCCCAACAACCCACTGGCGGATGGGTGATTTTGTCGTGGGGAATTCATTCTCCCAAAAATATCAGCAAGTGGCCGACACCCTCATCCAACCCTTCCACATCACACACTTCACACTCCCATATTATAATTATTTTTTATTATTTAATCACGTTATTCTCACTAAATTAATAAAATATTTCTTTTTTAAAATTATTAATAATTTATTTTAAAATAAAAAAATTATTAAATAATAAGGCAATATTTGGAAATAAAAAAAAATTGGAACATTCGAGAAGTGGTGGGACCACAAGTAGCACCGGTAATGAAGAAAATGGATGGGAACGGGGTACGTGGAAAGGTCAGCCACAGCCAACCAAAGAGAGGCCGCGGTTCGTCTTACCTGTCGCCCACGTTTCCACGTCCCGTAATAACCACGCCTCCTTTGACCAATCTTGTGTGAGCCGTTAAAACGGCAAACCGCGTTCCCCATTCTCCGTTACGCCCGTCCGTTTCCTTCCTTCTATCCACAATTTTATTTTATATTTATATATATTAATGTTTTAATAATAATAATAATAATAATAAGTCAAATTATATTTTGAATTTATATTAAATAATTGTTTTTAATTATCTTCCTATGTTTTCCACTCGCAACACTTCAGTGGGATCGTATTTTAAAATTCATATTGACTTTTAATAAATCCTCATTTCGGCATTAAAAATTAAAAAAGAATAATTAGATTGAAAAAAATATATAAATAAAATTTAAAAAAACCATTTTTTAAAATGAAAAATAATATTTAACCTCCCTAATTTATTCCACCAAGTTTCTATATTTGATATCTTACAGTAATATCAAACTGTAAAAAATATATATATATATATATATTTAATTGAATTTGTTGAACCGATTTTTGTAAGAAAACCCGAGTTGAAAGCCTAAATTTACCCTAAATTTTTCATGGTTTGAACTGATTCTAGTTGCTATAGGTTCGTGGAGGAGAGATCTTCAACACTTCTGAAGATTGTTGAAGATCATTGAGACGAGTAGTGCCATATGAAACTTAATAAATTCGCATTATTCATGCTCCGTTAAATTCGCCTCAAGGTGTTGCACGAGTTAGAGGAGGGACGGCAAGCAACAGAAGTAGCATGGGTTAATTTACTCTTAGTCAACCTGTCACAAATGGAATGAGTTCACAATAGCACCTTGAGAGTTGATTGAACTTTAGAATGTAGGAGCCTCATGAAAATTTAGGATCGAGTTGCACCTCGAGGGCCTAGATACAGGTCTAAAACGATGATGATGATAGACTAACAAAAATTATAATTCATAATATATGAGAATTCAAGAAAATTTTCGAGAGCTACAGGTCTAGATAGGACCGAGAATTAAGAACTTGAACTATCTTCCGCTAAAACTACACTAAATTGAACCATAGGAAGAGCAAAGTGTGGATTCAAAATGGACTTTTCTTGAATAATTGAATTGGGCTTCGACAAGAAAATGAGGGCCCAAATATGCTGTTTTAATTTGTAAAATAAATTAAGCTTAATTACAGAATTTAATTTTGTGAATTATTATATATTTTTAAAATGTTATATAATACACAAATAATTAAGGGTTTATTAGATTAATATACTACCTATTTAAAATTTAAATTTAAATAAAGTAAAGTCTAATTTTATTTTAAACAAATATAATGGATAACTTTATTCTCAAATATTTGAAATTCCAGAGGGCAAAGTAAATATAATAAAATATTTTTAAAAAATTAAGAAAAAGAAAAAAGGAAAAGAATAGCCAACCCTGCAAGTCACCAGAGCATTTTATCTTTATTGACCGGTAAAAATAGTTAAAAACTTACTGAGATTAAAGCGGGTAAAAGAGATACGACTAGTTGTCACTTCTTCCTATTTGAGTTATATGTTATTTAAGCCGTGATATTCGTTTCTTTGCTTATAGTCATATAACGTTTATTTCTTCAATTCTTCAAACGATTTTCGAGTATTTCATCGCTCACGTTTTCTAATCTTTTTTCATGACGTGACTCGAGGCCCGCACGTACACCAACGTTGTTCGCGACGTCTGAATTTCTCAAGGCTACCTTGTTTGCTTGGTTAAAATAAGTGTTGCACAATCGCTGTATTGAGTTGAATAATTGTATTTCCTCACAATTGCGTGTCGAGTTTGAATATTGGTTTAAGCCAATTAAACCGAGTTTCTTCGACGACAATAAAGTTTACCTTATGATGTTTGTTTTTGCTTTTGAGTCCTTTCTGCCTATTCTGATTTTGATTGCTTCCTAAATGATATTGACAATTTTTGCATTGGTTTCTTTAATAAAAGTTGAGTCATCTTCACATTTATTATCAAACGAAAATTTGTTGCCGTTTTTTTGGGACCAATACTCAGAATACATTCATATATTATTTGAGAGATAGATCGAATCAAAAGCTCGATGTAGGTTAGCCAAAACATAAATTCGAACTCGGTAGTAAAGAATGATGTTCTGATATCATGTTAGTAATCACCGATCTCACAATGCTATGATGTTGTCCACTTAGAACATAAGCTCTCGTGACTTTACTTTTGGCTTCCCCAAAATGTCTTATACCGATGGAGATAGTATTTCTTGATTATAAATTCATTATTATTCCTTAAATTAGCCGATGAGACTTTAATCGAGGCTCGACTTCTTTTCTTTTGGAGTGTTAGTCGTTTTTTACTATGCCTTCGAGCCTCACAATATTTTTGTTCAACAATTGACATGTCTAAGTCTAGGGCACAACTCTGATACTCAGAATGATGCTCTGATGCCATGTTAGATGAACACGACTATCTCTATTGGTGTGGGGCCTTTGGGGAACCCAAAGCAAAGTCACTAGAGTTTATGTTCAAAGTGGACAATATCATACTATTGTGGAGAGTCGTGTTCATCTAACAGCTTGAACCTAAGCTTGGTCGACCCACCTTGAAAAGTCTGGCTCTCTCGAGGCCATGTGATCCCAATCTAGCCTCGATTCGATTCTCTTACGTCCCAATCCTACTAGGAATCAATGAAACCAACCGTTTTCTCCTGCCAGCGTTTATGTTCAATGAATCTTATTCAAATAAACACTTTTTTTTTTTATCAAAACAAACCTTCTTGGAATTGACTGATTATTGATACAATAAATAAAAATAAAAAAACTCGAGCAAGAAAGGTCTGGATCGGGTCAGGCTTACCCGGATCCGCAACCAGAAGCCTCCAATATCAGTTCATCGGTCCGCATGATCGGAGCGATCGAGTTCTTTCAGGTATAGCCGAACTGTAACCTCCGCCGCCGTAAATTTCTACTTCCGACGAGAATCGGCAGCCGAATCGTCGGTTAATGACTTCAGATTGTGGCTCCGGCTTCTCCTCTCCTTACCGTCCGATTCAACGGAAGCAGGTTCTAAGTTCAGATCCAGATCCAAATCCAAATTTCTGTCCAATTTCTGCTCTGGAATTCTCTTTGTTCTAATTTCAACTCCATCGCCTTCTTTCTCGCTCGCCTTCGCCGTCTTCGCTCTTTTCCCCATCAACAAGCTTCTCGCACCATCGATCTTCTCTATGTATTTCGTCGCCGCGTGTAATCGCTTCAAAATGGCGAAGAACTCCTCCACCTCTTCATCCGACGTCATCTGCCTCTCATTTCCTCTCTCCGCCACCGTCTCCTTCTGGTTTCCGGCAGCGGCGGCGGCATCGTAATCAGCGTGTTCTCCCCGCTCCCGCTTTCTTTTCCCTCTATCCGTACGACTCGATGGAAACAACTCAAACGGCATCGTTTGTTAGACAATTTTCGTGATTAACAGCATTTTCTCAACAAAATTTATAATACCCAGCGGAATCAAAACTATTTCGAAAAAGATAAAAAATAAAAAATAAAATATTTTCGGCGAAATTCGGAATTTTAACAAATTTACATATTAAATAAATAAATAAATAATTATTTATTTATTTTCTTCTGACTAGAATAGCACCAGCCACTGAATTTCCTTTTTGAATTATTTTTAAAAATAATTTATTATGACTTTACAACATATTATTCTAATTGGTTAATTAAATTGTAATTTAATGGAAAATTTAAAATAAATTTATTTTATTAAGAGGAATAGAATTGATGGAGTGCGGTCAAAGATATATTAATTGAATATTGAGAATTAAAAAGTAGTTAAATCTTTTTCGAGCAAAGGTGGAGAAACATTCTTTTTAAAATTAATTAATTTAAAATAAAATATGATTCTTGTTGAGAAGATGACGTGTCCTTGCGTTTTTTTAGTGACGTCAGCTGTGGAAATCACAAATGTAACGTATGGGAATTTTAGTCAAAAGGAGGAAAAAAAGTGTAAATTATAGAAAAATATTCAAAATTTTGTTTTCTTCTACTTTTTCTCTTTTTTTTTTTTATATTATATATAATTTAATTGTGCTCGTACAAATTAGAAAAAGTTATGTAATCGACATTTTTCAGTTAATTGTAGCATGACTTAAATTCTCGAGTTACAAATGAGCTTCAAATTTAAGTGAATTAGCGATAATTTATTTTTCTTCGGTTAAAATAGCTAAATTTTAGACGAATTCAAGTCACAAATGGATTCCAATAAGATAGACAATAACAGACGATCGATCAACTTTGAACAATTTAATAAATTTCTAAAAATTTAGTCTGATAAAATTATTTTTTTAACGGTGAAATTATTAAAGGCCAATCAAATTGGACCGTAAAACCAATCCAACCCGATTATTCGGTCAACTTTTTTCCACAATTGATTGGATTTAGTTTTCAATTTTATTGGTACGACCAAACCAGGTCATTTCCACTTTCGAGCCACTTCTTCTATTTCAAACCCTAAAGTCTAAACACGTTGCCTCCACCTCCCGTCCTCGTTCCATCCTCCTCGTCAACTTTCACTCTTCATGGTTGACCTTACTTGTCTGCACCCTTCTACATTCTATGTTAACGTCACTTCCTGTCCAGCTATCTCTCACCATCTCGTTAGCTCTCCTATTTCATTTCTGTCACCGTTCACATCCTCCTCTCTCTCAAAATATTTATAAACGCTTTCTTTAATCGATACATTGAATATATGAGTTAAGACGCATACATTCAATTGGAAAATAAAGATGTGAAATTGATGTTAAATGCTTCGTAAAAATTTGGTCAAAATAATGATACCAAAGGCGAATCGGCGCTAGGCAATGTGGAGGGTAGGGTCAATATGGTCAACAATAATATTTCTACACGTGGTCTTTGGGGGCATTTTTGGAATTTCCTTCGCATTTCCTCCCCCACTATCGTTTTCTTTTCTATTCTCAAATAGGTACTCCCATGGGACCCAGCGGTAGGCATTTTCTATTTTTAAATTCAATTTTTTCCTTTTTTCTTTTTTCTTTTTTTAATATTTTTAAACTTTTAAAATAGCTTTTTTTTTGTTCGGTTTATTTTATTTTGTCCACAAAATTTTAAAATATATAGTTTAATTAAACCATTTAATTTGAAATACTCTTTTTTTACCTATATATTTTATTTTATTTTTTATTTTTAGAATACTGACTAATTTAATTTTTATTACATAGTTGTAATTAATAAAAAAAAGTTTAAATATATATTTGAAAATTTGAAATAAAATTTTATTAAAGAATAATATATGTGTAATTGCGTGAGAATTAGTCATTAATTTATAATTAAAACTTAATGAAAATTTAGATATAACAATAGTCAATTGTATGAAATTGTTTCTATAATATCATATAAAAAATGGCACCATAAATTTTAATTTTTTTTTTCTTCTTAAAGGCTATAAATTTAAAATTTTTAGGAATTAATTTTATATATGCAAATATTTTAATATTAAATTTAAAAAATCAATTACCTCATAATTTATATTTAATTAATTAGTTATAATATCAATTAAATGTGAGAAATTTTAGTGGATGAATTCATAGCCACTCACTCTCTCTCGGCCCGTTTGTGAGTATTTTGGGCCAAGGAATAGACCACTCGGACCACTATTGAGTCAATAAAACTATATGCTTGGTGTAGGATCAGTGATTTATGAATTTTGATATTTAAAAATAAGTCGCCCCTTTCCCTCCCCCTCTCGGTCGAGCTCTTTCACCCCTCGTAAACTCGGTTTCACAATTTCATTTTCTGAATCTCGTAAACTATTAGCTTCTTTCTCTACAGAAGCGGAATCGGATTGACGGAGGTAAAGCTGCCATGCTAATTCGATACTATACTGTAAACAAACGAGGGGGGCACTCTTTGACCGTCTCTTCTCTTGGCTTTCCTTTAATTCTGACTCAACAAATGAAAGAAAGATGAGCGGTGATAAGAGTTTTGAAATGTATTTTAAAGCCAACAAAGAAAGAAAATAAATTTATGATAAGATAATGTTAGGAGGAAAGAATTTGATTTTTTATATTTTTTTTATTTGTTAAATGTGATATGATATTTTAAATTATGAAAAAAAGAGATTGAAAAAGGGGTGAAAGCCACCAAATCCCCAAATTCAAATAAATTCTATGATCCGGGGAATTTGCGGCGGATCGACTAGAGAGTCTAACAATAATCCGATGGCCATAACATTAAATTCGTTCATACCATCACCAAACCATCCCTTTTTAAGCAAATTCCAGTCTCCATCAGTTGTTTCCGGTAAACTTTGACCGATTCTCAGAACAATTGCAGGCGCATTCGACTGTGAAAGAAAACTCAAGAACATCATGAAGATTCAGAAGGCCGTCAGATTATGAAGCCTTTTCCGATTCGATTTCTTTATTTTCTGTATATTTTAATGGAGAATGCCTCGATTCATGAGATTTTGGTGTTTGTTCCATAGAGATTTTGGTGTTTTTTTGATCTGGCTGTCTCTGTTCTGTTATCTCGACGATCGAACAATGTCGAGCGTGGATTGGCGGTGGTTGTTTACTGTTTTTCTCTTTTGATTTTGAAGAACAGGGAAGAAGTTGAAGACGGTGGTTGAGCAGTAGATTTTATGTCGGCTTTGTTCATATTGGCAGTCATTAGGGCTCTGCTGCAGCTCTGGTTTTCTTCTTCTGTTTCCTTCTCACTCTGCTGGTTCTGGCAGAGGTTGATTCTTGTGCAACAATCGTTTTCAATGCTTTTCAGATTCAAAAGGCAAGACTAATTTCCAGTTTCGTTCACTCGTTTCTTCGATTTCTTATGTTCTTGATGATTCTGGTTGATGTTCTTTTTGTTTTGCAGGACTTGTTCTGGAGTAAAATTATCGTGGACTTCTCGTATAAAGCAATTTCTTCTTCGTTTCTCCACCTTACACTTCCGCTGTTTTGATTCTCAGTAATCTTCCATCGTTTCCGTTTGATTATTCATAAATTATTCTGTTCTTGTTCTTCGTGTTCTTCTTAATCTGTCGTACTACTCTCTGATGCCGCATCCTAATCAGAGAAGTGTTAGCGACAGAAAGTTCAAACAGTCGACGAATTTCTCTGGCGATCCGAAAATGAGGAGAAAAGTTCGTATAATCTGTTATGATCCTGATGCAACGGACGCGTCTTCAAGCGAAGATGAAGGAGAAGTATACGGAAGATTAAGAAGAAGATTGAACAAAAAGAACCGAATCATACACGAAATCGACCTGCCTACGCCGATGAACGCTCCCGAATCTAAGAGTTCTAAGAACAGCAACAATGGAAACAACAACCCTAAGTCTCGAAGATTGTCGTCTTCGAAATACAAAGGTGTGAGACAGAGACCTTGGGGGAAATGGGCGGCGGAGATTCGAGATCCGTTCAAAAGAAGCCGTGTTTGGCTAGGTACTTACGACACTGCTGAAGAAGCTTATCAAGCCTATGAATCGAAGCGGTTGCAGTTTGAAGCTACGGCAGCGGAAATGGCTACTGGCAACGGCACTGTGTCAGAGCAGACTGATTCTTCGGTGAGCACGACGGAGACCACCATGTCACGCACATCTCCGCCGTCTGTTCTCGAATGGAACGATTCAACTTCTCAAAGCCGAGAGGGAGATTCAATCAAAGAAAAAACAGACACAAATATGAACTATCTTCAAGAAGCCGATCTGGGGAATGAATTTGGTTGGAGTCTGGCTGATGGAATCGGGATGTTCTTGGACGATTTTGCAAGTCTGGACAACACCCATTTTTTTGCGTTTGCCGATGCTGATGATGAACCTTGCTTCCTTCCAAATTTTGACTGTGATCATATATGGAATGCTGAGATTTCTAGTTGGCTTGATGAACCGATCAACATAACTTGTTCATAATTTTTTGCAGCTTAGGATTTTTCTCCATTTTTTTGAAGTTTTGATTCATTGAGAATGCAGTTTCTAGAGAGAAAATGAGATAGGGTTTAGGGTTTTGGGTTTTTTCTTGTGAATCTGTTTCGATTTATAAACGATTATTATTCTTGGATTCTTTACTTCTGAATCGTCAAATCGAAACTACAAGCCAGATGGTTACAGTCGAAATTATTGAAGGCTTTTTTCTTCGATTCAAAGAAATCCTCTGTCTCGGAAACTCTTGATCGAATCATCAAGCATTTGTTCGAGCGTCTTGAAAGCGGGGAATCCCAGGTTAGATATCTTTCTGGTGTCCATATTGTGGGGGTTGCTGTCTCCTTTCTGACCGTTGTTGCATCTGTATGCATGCACACGAAGTGTTCGATGAAATGTCTAGGAGAAAAATTGAGAGATTTTTGTTGAGATTTTCAAGACTCACTTGCTTTCAAATGGGTAGGATGGATACTTGATTCTGAGCATTGCGATGATCTCTGACCAGTGAGCTACTGTGCTTGAACATATGATCCTGCCTGATGCTTTTGGATGTTCCATTGCTAGTATGTGCGCTGCTACCACGTCGTCTATGTGCACGAACCCTAACGTGCAGTTCGGATATTCGCCGCTTTCACCTGATGGAACAACCCCTCCGTTATTAGAGACGGAAAGAAATTTAGTGTAACAGTCCAAACCCATTATTGAAATATATTGTCCTTTGGACTTTTCCTTTTGAGATTCTCCAAACATTTTTTAAACTCCAAGCCTATTATAGTTATGGACATATATTGTTCTTTTTTAGTTTTCTTTTAGAATTGTTCTTTGAGGTTTTTAAAATTCTAAGCCCATTATGGACAAGTGGGATCTCAGAATCCATTCGGGTCCTATGGGATCTCAGAATCCACCCACCCCCTTAGGAGAGCTTAGTGGGATTTCAGAATCCACCCACTTCCTTGGGGGACCTACCCGCTTCCTTGGGGGACCTTGTGGGATCTCAGAATCCCACCACTCCCTTGGAGGACCTAGTGGGATCTCAGAATCCACCCATTCCCTTCGAAGCCCGGAGTCCACCCACCCCCTTAGGAGCCCGGAGTCCACCCACCCCCTTGGGGGACCCAGTGGGATCTCAGAATCCACCCATTCCCTTCGGAGCCCGGAGTCCACCCACCCCCTTAGGGGACCCAGTGCGATCTCAGAATCCACCCACCCTCTTCGGAGCCTGGAGCCCGGAGTCCTCACTGGCATAGCCTGATTTTGATACCATTAGTAACACGTCAAACCCACGGCTAACAGATATTGTCCTCCTCGGATTTTCCCTCAAGATTTTTCAAACGCGTTTGTTAGGGAGAGGTTTCCGCACCTTTATAGAGAATGTTTCGTTCTCCTCTCCAATGTGAGATCTCACGAAGAAAATGAAGGAAGGAGATTCTTGCAAACCTTTGATGATGGCTAGCAGGAGATGCTGAGTACTGGTTGGTTTTGGTGTAAGCAAAGGACCAATAACAAAAGATGGGTTCACCACAACTAGATCCATTCCATGTTCTTCTGCCAAACGCCAAGCCTCTTTCTCTGCCAAAGTCTTTGCAAATGCATACCAAAGCTGCCAAAAAAACACCCAAATGAAGAAATCAAAACAAGTCTCGACAATCCGAGCCACCGAAAGAGGAGTTCCTTCTCACATTATGGCTCTTGCAATACTCGGGATCGGACCAATGCGATTCATTGAGAGGACAGAGTTGCTGGACGTCATAACGATATCTAATTGCAGAGCAGGACGAGGTGAGCACAACTCGTTTCACGCTGTTCGCTTTTAGACACGAATTTAGTACGTTCTTCGTACCATTTATACATGGATCAATCAGAGTTGCCTGCATAATATTGCAAGAACGTTAATTATACGCACATACGCAACGAGTTTGGGCATATCCCATTAGGATCTTGCCTTGATGTTGTTATCGTAGGGAACAATGACAGGTGAAGCAGTGTGGAAGACCCCATCAACTCCTTGAATGGCCTCATCAAAGCTACCTTCTTCAAGCAAGTCAGCTTTGACTATCTTCAGCCTCTCCTTAGCTCCATCGAACTCCCACAGAAACCTGACACTTTGTTCGTCTCCTGTTCATAAAAATTACAAGTAAAACATCTATATCAGTGATAACTCCTGTGAATCAAGCCGTCGATATGCAGGTATTATAGATTTTGACGACAGGGGAGATCTGGTTGTGGTTCGTAACCTGGGTTTCTAACGGTGGTGCGAACGTGGTGACCGTTCTCGAGCAATGTCTTGACCAAGTTGGAGGCTATGAAGCCAGTGCCGCCGGTCACACAGTACTCTGGCATCTCCGGCTTGTGAATGGATATATGGCGGCTGTGTGGATGGGAAAAGTTTATAGAGTGGCCAGACATGAGGATTGCTCATGCATGGTGCGCTTGCAGCTATTATATTGTTGAGCTCCAATTACGAGAGTGGAAGATGAGTCATCCACTTTGGAAGGTTGGACTTTTCTAATATAAACATAAATCGTGCTCGGGTTTAAAAGATTGACTCGAACAACTTTTATTAACCATTCGAACTGACCTAATTGTCTTTGTATGATCAAATTAAATTGTGTTCATCGTCTGATAAAGTTGCTTTGGTCGACAAAATTTACATCCTGAACAACTGAATTAGGTTAAAAATGTCTCAGAGTCTGACCTAACCCATAAATTAGGAACTATCTTTATTGGGGAGGTTTAATATTAATTTATTTAATGTATACTAAATTTAAAATTTTATTTTATGCCTAATGAATTAACTAATTATATAAAAAAAAAACCAAATAATTTTTATTTTTATTAATATTTAAAAGTCAACTTGGTTTTCAACATGTCGTTGTAGTATAGTGGTAAGTATTCCCGCCTGTCACGCGGGTGACCCGGGTTCGATCCCCGGCAACGGCGAATTATTTTTGTAATTATGTTTTTTTTTTATAGTTTATTTGGGCCTTTTTCATCTATTGGCCCACTTACGACGGAGGGAAAAAATTGAACCCGCCATAAAATTATGTCCTGCTATTTCCTTCCCGCGCTTTCTCTCTCTCTCTCTCTCTCTCTCTTCTGAAATTCATCATCTTCATCGAATTCTATTATTCATTGTTGATCTCCCGAGTGTTTCAATCTTGCTATTCCTTTCGATGTCAAGAGCTCAACTCAAAGATCAGGCAGACGCTAGTCTTGAGATAATTTCCATCGGATCCTTGTACAGTGGACCGTGGGCCAAGAAGTACTGGAGCAGCTCTAGGGTTCGGTTTCGATTTCTTTTTCTCCTTGCATCTTTTGATTGATTTGTCTGCTGTAATTGATTTCATGTATCTCGGTGGTAATGTTACTCTTTCCGGTGATGTTTGTTTAATCATTTCTCAAGTGGAAAGCATGTGATGCTTGTAACATGATGCGTTCCCTCTGGAATTCGTTTCTGTATTTTTCGACACGGTCGGTTTGGAAGGATTTCGTTTCTGAGCGTTGAACAGATGTAACTGCAACAGCGGAATAGCATTTCGTGCAATGCTAATTTTCAAGCTTCTCTAACTAGGTTTTTCGATGTAGAATCCATAATAATTAGTACAATTAAAATCGAATAGTCTACTTCATGAAGCTCAAGTGACAAATTAATTTTGTGTAGTACGAATTTAGAGTTAATTGGCTTCTGTATAAATGTCCAATTCATTGCATGTAGTGCCACTGCAATTCTCAGGAGGTTCGAACATCAAGCGTTCCAATATCAGACTGGAAAACTATGACCAGTTGACGAATTTGTCAATTCAAACTGCTTGCTAACTCTTCCATATTTTGTAATTGTTATATATCTGAAATGGTATCTTAGATGAAGAACAATAGATGTCATAGAGACCTGGTAATATAGTTTTTTGAGTTAAATGTTGTAGTTTAAATGCATTTTTATTGGTTATTTACTCATGGAAACTTATCGTGAACTGATCGGTTGTGTAGGTGTGTTTATTTCAACTCAGCGACGTAAATAGGAGATAAATTTGATAATGATGATTCTCTCATTATTTCTTTTTATAAGAGTTTGGCCCATTAGAGCTTCAAGAAGTTAAAAGATGTATTTACACGTCATAGATAAGAAATCTCAACTGACTTACTCTTATCTTTGAATTGTTGTGTAGGGTAAGGATCGATTTCCCTATCCAGTCGGGTATCAGGCTGTTCGGGATTACAATGGGATCAAATATAAAATAGAAGTTCATGAGGGTCCAAAAGGACCTTTATTTATGGTGTGCATAACCTTCCTATTGAATATTAAATATTAAATATCTCTATTTCTCTTGTCATCGACAAAGATTTATTGAAAGGGTCTATCGTCCCTTGCAGATTTTGTCCATGGATGGACGTTCATTTTCTGGGCAGACCCCTGATATTGCATGGGAGATGTTTCAGAGGAAAAGCTGCCTCCATACTAAAATTTGGCACGGGAAAAGGTCTTCATGCAAGGTTGATGGCGTGGAGGTAAACTTTTCATTTTTCTACTGAACTCTTTAGCCAGTGGAGACGGCTAATAAATGAGTTCTATCATTCTGTAACCCTTTTTAATTTCTAGCACTTCCTATGATTGTTAACTTAATCTACATCCCCTTTCTATGACATCCTTCAATCATGATAACATTTTTCAAGTGACCAGTCTAGTTGGCGGGTAAAATTTCCGAGTTTATCTTCTCAGTTCCAATAATATCACCATCGGGCAACTTTCATGCAATCTTAAGCGCCGTACTTAACTTTCTACCTTGTGTTGGGAACTATGCAGCTATTTGAAATAAAAATAACCATTAGTGCAATGAAACACAGAAGCTTAAGAGTTTTCTGCTTATTTTTTTTTATATGTTAATCTTCTTGGAAAACATAACTAATGCAAATCTCAAGCATAAGCAGTTTGAGGAGCCTACCTTTTCTTTTCTTAATTATTTAATTTTTTGTTGTTCAGGAGTGAGGTCATTTAACTATTTTACTTTGACGAAACGTCTATGAGATAATTGATTTATCTTTTTTAGATTAACTAGTTCAACATTAACTCTCTTTCACATTTGACAAGTCTTGGTGGGTAAAATTGCGGAGTTTATCTTCTCAGTAATAATATCACCATCGAGCAACTTTAGTTAGCTCCTCAGTGTGCAGGCACATGCAAGCACCTAATTAAATGTAGAGCATTTAATTTAACCAGATTATCAGAACATTGGGTAACATACTTTTATTTCTTTTCGTCCTATGTAGTTTTTTGGGTTAAAAAATCCATTTGTTCAGAGGTTACTTAGGGAGCTAGTGGCAAATGTCAGTGGAACAGCAGAGCTAGACCCTTCAAACTTATGCAGCAAGGCTTCTGGATCTGCACAGACTGCAGTTGAGCAACATTGTGTTGATGAGTGTAAAACTGCTAAATTAGTTTCTAGCCATGAAAGATCGAAGAGTGCAAGAAAGAGAAGCAGAATTCAAGGAATTGAAACGGCAAAGTCACCCAATGGTTCTAATCTAAAAAAAGCACGAAATCATGGTTCTGGAATTAGATCCATGACTGCAGAATTAAATTCAGTGTCTGCTAATGATGGGAATCAAGGTTTTTGTGGTAAGTATGAAAAAAAAAAAAACAAATTAGAAATAGTTCCTTTACTGTTGTGAACAAAAAAATCTCAGCAACCTTTTTTGGCAGCAGTACCTGCAACGTATTTTTTACTTCTTTGTTTCATGCCTCAGAGAAAGCTATATGTGTACAAGAGGAGCATGCTGTCTCAGAGACCACTCAAGTAGCTCATAATGTGTCCATTGATGAAAAACATGTGAGATTATATTCTTTTTATTCACCATTTGCTTGTAATTGTAGAAATATGAACTTCCTTATTTACTTTTGTTATAAAGCACACAGTTTATATTTAGTCTCCTGTTGATTTATTTTAAACAGATATCTACGATGGAAATAGAGATCATTTTGAAAAATACATTTTATTCTCTTTTTGTCAGATTTGCAAATTGCGAATTTTCGAAGTGCTCTTAACTTCTTACAGCATGATAGGTTGTCAACGGACAAATTGGAATATATTAGTCGAGAAATGGAAATAGATGATAACAGTGGGGTTGCTTCTTTCCAAAAGGATTATTGTCCAGACACTGAAGATAATAATCATGATGCTTCAGATACCTCAGATCAAAAGCAAGGTTTTGTATGATCTCACTTTTTTGACAAAACATAGGCTTGCTTATATATTTTATTTTTTATTTCAATTTTTATTATTTAAAGCAGTTATTTTTGAGTCTGCTCCAATTAGCTTTGAAAAGAAAAATCTCAACAAGCTTGATATCATCATATCTGAAGAGTCGGTGATGGACGCCCGTCCAGAAGAAATCTGCTCATTGAACAGGAACTCAGGCTCCAAAAGAAATGATTTTGATTCAGTAGGCCAAGACATGGTGAAGTCAATGATGACATATTTGCTTCCACAAGCAGTTCCTCTGCTTGAGGAGAATTCTGGCAGGAAAAAGACGGCCACATCTAATTTGGAAACTTTTCCTTGTGGTAATGTATATCTGTGTGTGTGTAGCCTGTGCTACGGTGATTAGCATTTGACAAATAAAATTGCTGATTCGATATGTGTGCATATGTAAACTTTTTAGGTTTATTAAAATACATTTTCGTTCTTCTGTAGATGAAAATACAAAAGATGTTTGGCCTACGGAGAGAGAAGGTAGAGAAAAGCAGGAATACATGAACATCCAACATGGGAATTACAAATTTGTTGTCCCTTGTCTTGAGCTTCCCAAAACTGGCCTTGACAATCTAGAGGGTGAACAACATTATGACCGTGCAAACGTTAATGGCAGCTTCTCTTCTTTTGCTGACAATGATCAAGCCAAGGAAGACATGAAACCTGTTGATTCTTGTGGATTCCAATTCTCTGGTCGCATGAATGAGTTGTTAGTAAATCATCATGAAGCTTCTGGAATCAAGAAGTCCCGTGACAGTGAAAATGGTGAAAATTTGCTTGGAACTTGTCAGGAGGGTAATTTGTATGTTTCAGAATGTCCTCCCAGCTGCAGTTCTTCTGGTAGAGTTCTCAATGAATGTCCGTTAAATCTCCAAATAAATTCCTGTAAAGTGGACCAGAAAACTCCTGAAGATTACAAGGAAATCAATGGTGATGAGCAACCTTGTCCGAGTGAATCCTTTTCTCAACTATCGCATGGTGAGAATTACATCCTTCTTTATTCTAGCAATTTAGTTAAGTACCAATCATTCACTAATGGTAACATCGTTACTACTTCAAACTTCGTTTGTAAAGAACATTTCTGTGACATATTTCCTCGATAATTAAATTTAGAATTGAAGTGCAGAACTCCTTTATGACCAATTTATCAACTATGATAATCTATAAATTGATGTTATGCCATCTCCTTTTTTTCAGCTCAGAGTGCAAATGATTCAAGTGTACGAAGTACCTCCGCATTTTCAGAGGCATTAAATAAGGAAGTCATTTTAGGAAAAGAGGCTGTGGGAATTGACACTTCGCCATTTTCTCAAGTTCCAAGCATTGTGTACAGTAGGAGAAAAACTCAAAAGGTGTCTCATTTGGCTAAGGAAGAGAATCGTCCTTCCGAAGCTTCCAACACTAGTGACCTTGGAAAACATTATGGAACAGAAGCATCTTCCACTAAATCTCCACATTCTTCTGGTATCAATGTTTGCACTTTACCTGGAAACCAACTAAGAGAAGATTTACTTTCTGAACCTACACGTAGAGAACCGCCCCCCATCAATTGCAGTTATGAAACTACTATGAAAGCTGAAACAGGATTAGAAAAAATATGCCATCGCAGTCCTACATTAGACCTAAATGAAGCATCGCCACAGAGAGACAACAAGAGTCATAATTCAGGACTTCTAGACAAACATGTTTTGAAGGAAGATTTGGAAGGTTGTGTTGATGGGGGAATGATTGAGCATAATAATGTTTTGAGTCCAAATAAATATGAGTTATTTTATGATGTGGGAGAAACCTCCATAGATGAAAGTAAGGATTCTTATCCTCATGGCAATGTGGAGCTCTATCGTGAGGCAGAAGGAATGTCAAAAATAGTGGGATCTTATTTGCACCCTATGCCTGTATTATCAATATTTCTCAGCAACGTTGAGAATGTAATCCACATTTGTGTTTTGTGTGGTCTTTCGGTGGAAAAGAACAGAACACTTATTACTTACACCGTGGAACTGAAAGAACCAAGGTTGGGATACCCATCCATGGTTGGCCACACGACAGTAATGGTGCCGACTCTAAAAGATTATTTGGGCAAAGAAGTGAGTTTTTATCTTTATAGCTTTATTTGATTACTGTGTTAGCTTTCCTTGACACGATGGATTAAATTTACTAGTCTATGTTACCAAGGTTGCAGTAGAGCGAACTGGTTTCCAGCAAACTCCAGATGGGAACTTTCTTGTTTTGGTTGGTGGCGTTGAAGCACCTCTTTGCAGGTTGTGAGCATTTTCGTGAATTTCAAATACATTCTACTTTAAGCAACAATAATATTATGGAAACTAATTTTACAAAGATATTTTCAGAACAGGGAGTATAAATTGTCCATGCTCTACATGTACATCTCGCAAGTTTGAAGAGAATGTGGTGAAGATTGTGCAAGTTAAATATGGTTACGTGTCAATCATTGCAAACTTGAGAAGTGTTGACAGTGTACATTGTATATTGGTTTGTGGACCTGATCAGCTTGTTGCTGTTGGAAGTGGGGGACGTCTGCATCTTTGGGTCATGGATTCAACTTGGAGGTGTGTTCCATTGCAACTGACCATTCTTTAATTTGTGGTTTCACTTATAAAATTTATGTTTGATAATAAATGAACAGGCGGCTAATTCTTTGCTTCATTCAACTTTGATAATAATATTAATACGCATCATAATTAGTTTACTCAAATTATTGATTTGCAATACATTAGTTTCAATCTCTGCGATCAAGATGCACCCCCCATTTTGTGATAAGTTATTATTATTTCTGCAGTAATTTTGAGAATGTAGAATGTTGGTGATGTGCTGGTTCAATGGATTATTTAAAAATATGTTATGTGGCTAGAATTTCAGCTGCAATCTGAACGATAACATATTTGAATACTGCATTAGTAAGCTTTCATGGTTTTGGGGCTCCACTGTTCCTCAGTGGTTTCTAGTTAGTTATTATTTAAGAGAGTACTTTGGATAAAAATATGATGAGGTAGTCCTTTAGGCTGTCATTTTTATTTGGTTGGCAGTCTAAACAACATTTTATGATGTACCATACAAGATAAATGGTCATTGCTTTATTATTCTTCAAGTGGTAGCTCTGATTTTCTTGAACCTAATTATCCCTGACGTATCATGCTCATTTGTTCCATTTGCTTGGGTTAATGGTTTCACTTGTAGACTCAAACTGATTTGAGCCTTACCTCTGCTTTTGCAGCAAACAGATAGAAAGTCATACCATACCGTCTGAGGACCACATATCTCCTAACTTGGTTGAGCTTCAAAAGGTCCCACAGTTTTCCAATTTGGTTGTAGGCCACAATGGATATGGTGAATTCAGTTTATGGTATGTCTTTCCTTGGCCCATGGGAGTTTTATTTTGTCTTCAGATAAAATTGACAAATCAAACTTAAAGTTAAGCCTACGAAACTTAGGTAAGGTCATGATCACCATTTTATCTGCATTATGACTCACCATATCTGCAGTGAAAGTTTGTTGATATCATATTATTATTATTATTATTTAAAAAATATCCTCTACATCAAGTACAGCCATTTCTGAGTTGGTAATTGAACACGCCTAAGATATGGAAACTGAATGGGTTGACTGCTTTCATGCTATCTTTAAATGATCACTTGGTCAAATCTAATGGGTATTACGATTATCTTTGTATGGTTACTGGCATCTAAAAGTTACTGTTATTGGTTTTAGGGATATCCAAAAACGTGCAATGATGTCTAGGTTCTTTACTCCGAATGCCTCAGTTAATCAGTTCTTTCCAATTAGTTTGTTTCGTTGGAAAGAAACGGAAAGCTTTACCAGCAACGTTAATTCAAGGGACTATGTTAAAGAGCTGTCGTGTGCAACAAATACAAGTTCAATGATCCCTGATGAACATTCGTCACTTCAGCTGAAGGATACTGCCATATGGCTTTTTGCTTCAACCACATCAGATTCTAATGATCCACATAACTATTTACCAACGGGTTGTCAGAAAAATCATGCAGAATTGTGGAAACTAATGCTACTTGCTAACAGCACGGTTACATTCGGTGCGGAGCTGGATTTAAGGTAGTTTGCTATTTCAATCTCAAGCTTGGTACAGCTCTTGAATTTCTGAATCTTGGATGTCAATATTCTTCTGACATTCATACAAATATGATGTACGACCTTCGTTGAACAAGATTTGTTTTATAGGTTGTACAATGTGTCATTGAGTTCCAAAAAATATGATATACCTGGCTTATCAACTGAGAGTCGGAGGATAAAACAATGATTCAATGACTGCTAAGTTTTATATACGAACAACGCTAGTTTAGGTTTGTAATGCCAGAAGATAATTAATTTGTTTTGCAGTTTCATGCTCGTCAACTTCCAGTAATTTTACAAGTAGATATTTGGAAATTAATTATTTAGTCTGTTTAAGGAGTGCAATTTCAGCCTAACTGAAAAGTCATCACATTCGTTTATTTTGTTATCAACACGGTTAGATGTTTTAGTGTTTATAATTCTTTTCACTTCTTAGGGCTTCTGCAATTGGGGCATCAGCTGGTCGCGGTATCATTGGGACTCAGGACGGCCTAGTTTATGTGTGGGAATTGTCTACAGGAAATAAACTGGGCACTCTTCTTCGCTTCGAAGGTATGCATCGTAGCATCAGTGACTTAAGCTTTCCCTTAATGTGCACTATTTACGAGTCTATTATATATTTATTTTAGAAAAATTATTTGGATATTTTAGAAATAGGTTGAGTAGTCTCTACTATAAATATCCCTCTACCCAACTTAGGTTTTCATCCTAAGAAATCCAAACAGTCAATTGGAGCAAAGTGTCGTAGTATTTTACATAGTGTCTTGTTCGATTAGTGTTAATAAGGAGTGCAAGTGTTTCCTACAAAAAGTTATATTCAACGGTTCTCACGACTCATCAAGAGAAGAAACAAACAAACAAGAGGAGTCAATACTCCCATACTTCATACCGTTATAAAGTGTAGAGTTGTTAACTAATATGAGACGAGTTTCAAGAGTTAGAAAGTGAAAAGACAGAATTTGAATGAGGCTATGAATTCTTTTCATTTGAACATCAATAAATGCCCCAAGTACTAATTTCTTCAGTTTCTTATGCATATATATACATATATGTTCTCTGTTATAGGTGCAAGTGTTATTTGTATTGCAACTGATAATAGAGAGGGAGGCGTGGTAGCTGTAGCCGCTGGTAGTAGGCTTCTGGTATGTCTACTTTCATCCCAATAACCAAAACTGCACTATCAACGAAATGAAGAAAATTACTTGTAAATTGAACACTTATCAGCAAAATGTTCATAGTTTTGAGTTGATGCCTGCCATGATATTGATATGACAATGTAGGATTTATTGTAACGTGGCTGCATTTTGACCGATGATGATGAATCAAAATAATCATTCATCATGAAATAAAGAAATCATAGTAACTTTCATGTTGACAACCCATTTGAAATTGCGCTTCATCCACGATGAGGGATAAAAAGAAAAGACTTTCAATAATAGTTGAATTTCAGATTTTTTTTGTTTGTTTGTTTGTTGTTTTGTTTAAAACTCTTAAATATTCAAATTAGCTTAGACTTGATTGTGCCCGAGAGCTAAATTCTTTTTCTTTTTTGAGTGTGAATGTGTTCCAATGAAAATGGTTTAGTTACACATTTTTTACCCACATAATTTTGGTTTTTGGTTTATTTGTGTGCTTAGCGTTACACAAGCAAAACCGTGACGCTTGGCTCTATTCATTCTTTAATAGTACCTTTGCTTAATGTTTTTGAAAATTCATTCGATTACATACAATTCATTCATTTGCATAGATTGTATGCATGGAACATACATTTATCTTACAAAGACATTGGCCTTTTAGCTTTTTGCAAGAAAAAATCAACCAAACTTTGATAGAATTATATGATCCATTATATTGCATTTAAAGAGTTTAGCTTTTTGCAAGAAAAAATCAACCAAACTTTGATAGAATTATATGATCCATTATATTGCATTTAAAGAGTCATAAAAATTGCCTTAAAGAGCCATAAAAATTGCATTCCTCATAAAAGATCAATATTTTGAGTAATATTCACAGGTATTGAATAATGATATTACGTGACAACTTGAAGTTGAAGTTTAATCTCTATCTTAAATTTATCTATCATGCTATTTATATATATGTAGATAGATATCTAAAACTAATTAGAGACGTTTTAAAGTACAAAAACTTTTTTTTTCATAATAATATAATGATAAATGTTGGAGTGAGAATTCGAATTCGAATTGTCAATTTAAAATAATGTGTTGATTATATAATAATACACATATGGGTATATTTAATTATAAGATTGAATTGAAAATTCATTAACCAAAATTATAATAAGAAAAAATAAAATAATAAAGGGCAGTGAGTACTGAGTATGGCATAGGAAAGAATTGATTGATTGGGGTTGAGAGGCAGTAATTACAGCAATAATAAAATATTTAATGCCCAAAATTGCGTTCCACTCTGGAGCTACGTGATGAGCTTTCGGGTCGGGTTGGTAGTTGGGCGCTGGTTGGTCCAACTCCTCCAAATTATGAATCTTTTATTTATTGCTTTGCCTACGTGGACCAACCATCTTACGCCACGTCTCTTTCCAGCTCTATTGTATTAAATTTTTCTTAACCAACAAACGAATTCCTCCTTTTTTTTTTATTAAAAACTTTCCGTTTATTGTTTGGCTGTACGACACGTGATCTCAACACGTGTCCACTTCTGTCGACGGTTGTAAATATTGCTTTCAGAGGAAAATTTATTACCCAATTATGCACATACATCAAAGACCAACGGTCATTCCCACAGTTAAATGAAATATATTTTTAACCCTTTAAAATAAGTCTCTCAGATAAACTAATAAATTTCTTTTTTTCTGTTACGCGGACACGACTCTCCATAATTTATTAACCAAATTAATGTGAGTCAGATATAGAAAAATCGAATATGTGATGTTTGTTAGACGAACACGACTCTCCATAATGGTATGATATTGTCCACTTTGCGAAAAAACTCTCATGTTTTGCTTTGGGTTTTCCAAAAAGATTCATACCAATGGAGAGACTATTCCTTGATTACAAATCCATGATCAGTTCCTAAATTAGCGGACGTGGAACTTTCATCATCTAACAATGTTATTATACTTGTATATAAATAAATACAATTATAAAACATTTAAACTAATTAAAATTAAACTTCTTTACCTTCATTTTTCTTAAATAATTAATTATTGTTAGTTAAATTCATTTTATTAAGTCAAACTTTCCAAACAATTTTAACCAATTTGTTTTTTTAGTTTCTACAAATAATACATTTTAAATTATATAAAGTTCTAATTATAATTAATTAATACAACAACAGAAAATATTCAATTAAATATAAAATTGAAAGGCAAACTTTATAAAAAAAAATACAAATTTTAATTTTTCTTGTCCAATCAGATTTTAAATTCAAAATAATTTCACATACGGATTTAATACACTGAATGAAAATATCGTTGAATAAATTAATAAATATTTTAAAAATAAAATAAATCACATAAACTTCGAAATTTAGATATATTTATAAACTTCAATTTTGTTTGATATTTTTAGTACATTTTTCAAACAAAAATCGAACCAAACCGAACCAACAATTCTCTATTTTTCCTAAATCCAAACCAATAATTATCCGTTTGGTTACATTTAATATCAATAGGCGCTTATTAAATTATTCTACTTCTCCATTTATATACATACAATATTTAATCAAATATACTCAACATTTTTTCATAATTAAATATTCAAAATTAATATTGGTGAGTAGTTATAGTCGAAGCATTTTCAATGTCTCTCGAAATTTATCATGAAGACGACAATAGACACACATTTTTTTAAAATAAAAATATTATTCTAAAAAATATTTAATATTCACCCTGCAAAATTTATTTCTTTAATATTCTTGTAAAAAAAAATTTAATATATATTTCACTAATTTTAAACCATCGACCTTAAATATAATTAGTGTTTGAGTTAAAATACTATAACCAAAGCTATTTATATCGAATAAAAATAAAATAATATATATATATTTTAACGTCACCCAATTAAAAAAAAATAGATCATTTTTAGCCCTATTTTATAGTTAAGACAATTATTATTGTTTAGAAAAATAAAAATTATTAAATCTTCTAGAAGTAAAAGAAATAATTAAGGATAGAGATAAATCATAATTTAGAATAATAAAAAATAATAATTACGTTAATGATGCTACGTACGCTTTCTAATTTTTTATTAGATGTCACGTCAATTTTTATATTATTTTAATAAAAAAAATTAATAGTAGTTTTTAAAGTAAATTTTAAAATTCAAACGAGAATTTGTTAAAATTGAAGGGTATAATCCAAACTTATTTGAAATTTAAAATATAAATTTAAAAAGTATTTTATATAATATAGATAATTGAATTGGTATAATATTAATTTTTTTGGGGCTAATTTAGTAAAAATACTAACTTTTTCGTTTTATTTTAAAAATACACCTGAACTTTCAAAATTTTCAATAATACTCTTAAACTTTAAAAAATATTTCAAAAATACCCTAACTTTCAAAAAGTTTTCAAAATTTTCATTAATGTCCTTAAACTTTTTTTAAAATTTCAAAAAAAAGTTTTTTTTTTTTTTAAATGTTAAAAACGGTTCAAAACATACTCACAAAATTTCAAAAATAATATTAAAAGGTTTGGATATAATCTACGAGGTGTCCGTATATTGAAGGTAATAATTTATTTTTTTACAAAGGTAAAATGTGTTAATGCTACTTTTAAAATTTTATACTTATTTTTTAGACATATTATTTGCGGGTATTTTTGAACCTATTTAAAAAGTTAAAGTATTAATGACGTTCAAGAATATTTTTGAAACAAAATACTAATCGGTTCACTACAAAAAAAAATTAAATATATTTTTGAAACAAAATATTATTGTATTGGCATCTAATAAACATTCAAATGAACCCTAATATTACGTCATTAATGTTGCGCCATTAATAATGGAGGCTAAAACTAACAGAAAAAAAAAGGAAAAAAGATGATAGGCATTAATTAGGATAAGCCGCAACTAATTAATTAATAGATAAGAGGCCTTTCAATACAGCGACAATGTTAGTTTAAAAAAAAAAAAAAAAAAAAAAACTATTTTTGCAGTACAAAATTAATCAAAATATTGAATAAAAAGTCTAATATATCTAAATTTTATTTTAAATATAGTTTTAAAATGTTTATAAAAATTTAAAAATAATATCACAGCTTTTAAAAGAATGTTGAGAATTTTGAAATCAACCACAAAGTTTAAATGTATTTTTGTTTAATAATTATATTTATTAAATTAGGTTAAATTAATAAAAATACATACGGAAAAATACTTGTAATGAATATTTTGTATTTTTTTATTTTTAGATATTATTGAAATTTTTAAAAATTTATGAGTATATTTAAATAAAATGAATATTTTTTTTAATTAATTTAGGCTTCATATTAAACTTATAAATATAACTAATTTAATTAATCATTTAAAATTACACAGATCAAATAAAATTATTAAAAATGGGAATAGAAACCTACATCAATATTATTTATTTTTATGAAATTATATTAGCATTTTCACGTCATTATATAAGGTTATTTAATTTTCGGTGCTCTTTTCGCTTATACGCTATCTCGAAGTCTTACGAGGGAACGAAATCAAAGTATATATACACACACAACGTCAGACCTTTGCTACGAACGAAAAATAGATTTGGCGGGCTGCCCTAGCTCCCAACTCATCTAAAGAATGCATTGGGTGTCGCTCTCTCCTTTCCCTCGTAAACTCAAGAAATCTTCACGAGACATTCTATTAACGTAACAATCCACGCCAAAACACTGACAAATATTGTCCGCTTTAGTTTGTTACGTAATCTTAATTTTAAAACGCTTTTACAAGAGAGAGTTTTCAGATCTCTGCAAGTAATTGTCATTCTCGTCTCCAACCAATGTGAAATTTTAAAATATTTTCGAGATATTTGAAGTATTTTTAATATTTATTTGTATAAAAGTTAGATTAAATATAAAAGTTAAGTGGGCGTTGAGTGACGTGAAGTCCTTCATTTAATCGCCTCATCTGCCTCCTCCGCCTCCTCCTCTTTATATCCCTCATCGTCTTCCTTCCATCGCCACCGCCATTTCTCTCTCCCTCTCTTCAAAATGCCTCCCATGTCGCCGGAATTCTCCACCTCCGTCAAGCTCAAGTACGTCAAACTCGGCTACCAGTACCTAGTCAACCACATTATAACTCTCACGCTAATCCCCATCATCACCGCCATCTCCGTCGAGATTCTCCGGCTAGGCCCCGACGGCCTTCTCGACCTCTGGACATCCCTCCACTTTGACCTCATCCAAATCCTCTGCTCCGCCTTCTTCATCATCTTCGCCGCCACCGTCTACTTCATGTCCAAACCCCGAACCATCTTCCTCGTCGACTACGCCTGCTTCAAACCACCGGTCACTTGCAGAGTCCCCTTCTCCACTTTCATGGAGCACTCCCGCCTCATCCTCCCCAACAACCCCAAGAGCGTCGAGTTTCAGATGCGGATTCTCGAACGTTCCGGCCTCGGCGAGGAGACTTGTTTGCCGCCGGCCATTCATTACATCCCGCCTAAACCAACCATGGACGCCGCCAGAGGTGAAGCAGAGCTCGTGATTTTCTCCGCCATGGATGCTCTGTTTCAGAAAACAGAGCTGAAGCCAAAAGACATCGATATTTTAATCGTGAATTGCAGCTTGTTTTCGCCGACGCCGTCGTTGTCGGCTATGGTGATTAATAAATACAAACTCCGGAGTAATATCAAGAGCTTTAATCTCTCCGGTATGGGTTGCAGCGCCGGGCTGATTTCCATTGATTTAGCTCGCGATTTGCTTCAAGTTCATCTGAATTCAAACGCCGTGGTGGTTAGCACCGAAATCATTACGCCTAATTATTACCAAGGAAACGAGCGAGCTATGCTTCTCCCTAATTGCCTTTTCCGTATGGGCGGCGCCGCGATTCTCCTCTCCAACCGCCGCTCTGAGCGCCGCCGTTCCAAATACCGTTTAGTTCATGTCGTACGCACTCACAAAGGAGCGGACGACAAGGCGTTTAGATGCGTGTTCGAGGAACAAGACAAAGAGGGCAAAGTCGGAATTTCACTTTCGAAAGATCTCATGGCCATAGCCGGAGAAGCTTTGAAATCCAACATCACAACCATCGGACCACTAGTTCTACCGGCGTCGGAGCAGTTACTTTTCCTTCTAACTCTCATCGGCCGGAAAATCTTCAACCCGAAATGGAAGCCGTACATCCCGGATTTCAAGCAGGCATTCGAGCATTTCTGCATCCACGCCGGTGGTCGGGCGGTTATCGACGAACTCCAGAAGAATCTCCAGCTGTCATCGGAGCACGTGGAAGCTTCTAGAATGACGCTCCACCGATGGGGCAATACGTCGTCGTCTTCTCTCTGGTACGAACTGTCGTACATCGAATCAAAAGGAAGGATGAAGAAAGGGGACAGAATCTGGCAAATCGCGTTCGGAAGTGGATTCAAATGCAACAGCGCCGTCTGGAAATGTAACAGAACGATCAAAACGCCGTTAAATGGTCCGTGGGTTGACTGCATCGATAGGTACCCAGTTCATATCCCTGAAGTCGTCAAGCTCTAAAAATGGCGGAAATCTCAAAGAAAATAACACAAATTAAAAGAAAAAAAGGAATAAAAAACACTATAATCTGCGAATTTGCTTCCTGTGATGTATCAAATTATATGAAACTCTCATTTTATCTGTTCTTTTTTACAATTTTTTTCGTCTGAATCCGAATGGATTTGAATATATGAAATATTTGTGTTTGTATTGAATTTCTGGTAATGTGCAGATTAATTTGTTTTAGATTTTTTCTAATATTTTATTTAAAAAAAATATTTAGGAATTTCTATTTAAAGAGATAAGTACTATCGGCTTTAATAATAATAATAATAATAACTAATTAATAACTAATCCGGATTTAATTAATAAATAGGATGGTTTAATATTTTATAGTTAATAACATCCACCCACGTGACTGAACACGAAATTAATTTATTTTTTTATTTATATTTTGATCACTTTTAATGACACATTAATTATTATAAATTTGGATATTTACGCACATTAATTTAATAAGCTGCCCTTTTAATATATATATATATATATATATATATATATATATATATTAAAAATATTTGAAAACCAATTATATTATATTTTTAAAATATCTTTAAATATATACCATTAAACTAAAAAAAATAAAAATATCCTTAATTTAATCTATAATTAAAAAATGAATAATGCCCTTAATCTAGCCTATTTTTACCAAAATACCCTTAAATCTATATTTCAGAAAAAATGTGTTAGATAATTTTTTTTAAAAATTTCTTTTCCGAATTTTAAACACAAAATTGTTAAGTTATATTTATTTTTAGGAAATAAAATTAATTAATATCAATCATATCATTTAAACCCCTAAACTATTAATTATATGAATATAAATTTTAACGGTTCCTAATTAAATAAACCAATTTAAACTATTTATTAATTTTAATTTTTTTTATTTTTTTTTATAAAAGTTTAGGATTGGAATGGATACGATTATTTAGTTTAGTATTTTAAGAATGCATTTTCTAATGAGATTAAGTTGATTTTCTCCCATAAATTATTAATATTTTTTTAAAAAAAAACTTTAATTATAAAAAGCAACTTTTTGTATTTTCGAGCATCTAAGTTGGCTGACCTTAAACGTTTCCACGAAAATTAAAATCGTGAGCTTTCTATCCCAATCAATCGGCAAGTTGGCAACAAAATGTAGTTCTACAACCATAAAACAGATTAAATATTTAATGTAACACCCAACTACATATCTTTTTTTTTTTCAAATAAGTCCTTTTAAAGTTACAAAATTGCTTATTAAGGGCATGTTTAATTAGGAGGGCCCATAATTTAATGAGAAACGAGGTATGTTATTAAAGCTCACAACCCGAGGTCCAGACACGAAAAAAAAAAGATAATTAGGCTCTTGAATCGATATAAAAAAACGCTATTAAGGAAAGAGATTCCATGAAGGAACACTGAACGAGGAAGGTGGTAAAGCACCGCTCGTCAACTAGATAATATACAAGATAGTTCGAGGGAGAGAAATGACTCAATCCCTCCAAATTGACGGCTATGACATATGCTACTCTACTAATATGACCCATTTAATCAACTGATTAGACCGATATGACATCTATAAGAGAAACGACTCCAACAAACATCGTTGTTGTACCGAAGCTCACCACTAGTAGATATTGTTCTCTTTAGATTTTCCCTTTCGAGCTTCCCCGAAGGTTTTTAAAACACACCCTTATAAAGAATGATTCACTGTCCTCTCCAACCGATGTGGAATCTCACATCCAACAACTCGAACTATACGACAACAAAAAATCGAAAATCAAGACATGTATATATCAGGCAATATCATCGATAACTCTCGCAATAGGGAGATTATACGACTCTAGGAAGCCAAGAATCCATCAAGATATGACATCTACGTCCATCTTTGATACACATTGAATAAACACGTGAAAGCAATCACGGACCTTTTTAGCTATGTAACATTAGGACTACCGATGGAGCTAGGGCAAAGGTCAAAATGGACGGATCTAATTGCTATCATAGATATAATGCATTATTAACCCGACACATACTAGGGTCGATTTCATATGCAAAAAAATGTGGGTAGAATTGAAAGGTAAAGGACTCCAAAAGTTTTGGGTACATAAAAACGTATGCATTTATTTCATAGCCAAACTGGCACAAGTTATTTCACATTATATCATTTATTTATGGGAGTAGGTAATTTGTTTATTTTTTTATTTTTATTTTTATTTTTAATTAATGATAAGTGCTCAACCACCAAGGCTGTGGCACACGTACCGATTGGTAAGGACATTGCTTGCGAATTTAATGGCTTTGCTGGAAGAGACAGCTATGTATTTGGTGTCTGTCTTGTTGAATTTCAGCCTTTGAATTGCCCTATTTTGTGGGAAGCTGTTTTTTTTTTTTTTAAAATAAATTTATTGGGTCGTAGATGTCTTGGACTAACTCGGGTCCTGATAGTTCATGTTTTCCTATTTCGTCCCAACACACCGAGACCTTTATTGTTTCAATATCAAGTTTCGAATAGTATCAGCCCAATAGTTGTCTGATATATGAAATCCCAACTGTTTATGAAACTGAGGTGTTGCTATAGCTAATACCGTTCAACGTGGTATGGGGTCAAACTAAGGACTCTTTTTGGATCCTCCCTCGAGATGGGTCGAGAACTTGGAGGATTTGTCTACCCAAACTGGGATTCTTTGACGAATTTTTCTTGATGGGACCTGAGCCCTAAATGAAGATTCCTCAAACTCGACACTTGAAAATGGTAAATGGGGTAAGGAAATAGATGTAGAATCTCCTCGGGAATAGAGATAGGGAATGCAGCTCTGATCTCTCTTGCCCCACTGCCATCTTTAGCTCTTCTACTTGTAATTTTGAAACGTTTACGAAATTTTAAGAATAATATTACAAATTTTAAAATAATATAAACGTTTATTTTTAAACTACCGTAAAGTTTTTATGGTAGTTTTTATAATTTAGTCTATTATTGATGTCAATCAATTGGGGATTTTGACTCTTGACTAATTTACTCTATGGGAGTAGGTGTGAGTTAGGTAATTCTATTTGTAGCTGCTCTCCTCCCTTATTCTTTTAATATTCCTCCATTTTTGTACAGCATGATGTTAGTTCTTCATTACTCTTACGTGTTAAAGACCTAAACGAATTACTATGTAGCACATGTGTGTGTCATAGTGTAGGTGAGCGTCTCGAGCGTCTTCCTTTGAAAAGGATATTTCAAAGACAATACCAAACGACACAGGTATGGTGGTATTGCGCCCCAATCCATGTGTTGGAGGTTGGATTATGCATCCTCTATCCATAACATATACCATAATTGGTTTAGCATGGATACAGGAGAGTCTGATGCTCGATAGAACCCAAGTGAATGGATGTTCGGGATGTCCAGATGAAATGATCAACACATGGGTCTGTTCCCAATAGATGTGTCCAAGCAAGCCAAGATGGTCGATGCATCCTGAGACATGAGATGACATCACGACACATGGATCGTGTTATTGGAAACCGAGATGACAATCAGATGCAAATCATCCCTAATTTCCGATAGATAAAGCTTGAAATATATATATATATATATATTATTTATTTATTTGTTTGTTGGGCTATTTTTTTTAATCAAATATTGCGTTCACGACTGGATATAAATATAAAAAAATTACTTTATTGTTAATTTATAAAAATTAAACTTATCATAAATAATTATAAGTATTTTTAATATTTATCTTTACGACCCATTCGTTACTCATTCAATTAATCAAATGCAACATTCACTTTAATAATATTTATTTTAAAATTTATTGATATGACTTACAAGGAAGGTCTCTCTAAGTAAAATATACCATAAATACCCTTTTATTTTAAGTAATTTTCAATACTGCCCTTACAATAATTATATATTTCAAAATAATCCTTTACTTATGTGTTCGGTAGTAATTAATGAAATTTATGTTCAAACTCATCTAATATTATTTATTTTTAAATTAATATAATCCATTTTCAAGAACATGAATAAATAATTAAATAATTAAATATAAAAGGGCAAATATGAGAATATTTATAATGTTGAGGGTAATTTGATAAATTCACGTAGTGGATGGGCTTGGGCCCATCAATATAAATAAAAAAAATGGGAATTGGATTTGGGTTTCAATCTCCACCAACCCCCGAGGGCTACAAAGGAGGGATATTGGCGCGCAGGAGTTGTAGAAAGCGAGAATCTGAGAGCAAAGGCGTCCACGTTCAGACTCGAGAGACATAGCGACAATATCCATATTCGGTTTGTCGCGCAATCCGTTTCTCCTTGATCGCCGGCGGTAATTGCGTATCGAAGATCGAAGGAACGAAGAAGAAGAAGATGGGGATGAAGAAGGCGACGACATTGTTGGATGATCTGATACAGAACGCGGGAGGTTGTGTGGTCATTGATGGAGGTTTGGCCACGCAGCTTGAGAAACACGGTGCTGTCTTTAACGATTCACTTTGGAGTGCTGTTTGCCTCGTTAAAGATCCCGACCTAATTAAGAAGGTTCTCTCTTACCGTCTCTGTTTTTTTTTTTTTTTTTTTTCCTCTTCTTTTTGTTTTGTTGTTGGTGCATCACGATCTCGTCGGCGATTATTGATTCGATTGCATGTGTAGGTCCATTTGGAGTATTTGGAGGCTGGATCGGATATTTTGGTTTCTTCCTCTTATCAGGTTTGTACTGCGAATGGATTGAGCTTTCTTTACTGTTTTATCGACTGTAAACATGAATAGTTTTGTACAATGCACTTTATGACGGCTTTTGCAGTACCTTTTTCTTTAAAACGTTGTACTGTGGTTTGTTTAAACATCGATGATGTTATTTAGTTATTTTAAGGCTAATTAGCAGAATGCATGGGGGGTTCAAAACTAGCATTTCTTTCCTGTCGGGAAATGATGAACCAAAATGGAACCGGTATTAGCAGTATTCACTTACTCTTTCTTGTCATGCATTACTAACAATATGTACCAGTATTCACTTACTCTTTCTTGTCATGCATTTTATTCTATTCAGGCCACCATTCCAGGGTTTTTATCAAAGGGTCTGTCAGCAGAAGAAGGGGAGTTGCTCTTAGAAAGGAGTGTTAAATTGGCCGTGGAAGCTCGGGATAGCTTCTGGGATTCTGTGAAGAGTAACCCAGGGCATAATTACAATAGGGCTTTGGTTGCAGCATCCATTGGAAGCTATGGTGCTTATCTTGCTGATGGCTCGGAGTACAGGTGACTGACACATTGAATATTGAAATAAGGAGTTTGTAAATGTATGGCTTTCGAACTAAATATATTACCCCCACCCAATCAGTGGGCATTATGGACCAGATGTGGATGTGGATACGCTGAAGTATTTTCATCGACGCCGATTGCAGATTCTTGTCGGTGCAAGCCCAGATTTGCTTGCATTTGAGACTATTCCCAATAAACTTGAAGCCCAGGTTTGTTTGTTGTTAACACTTGTTATATCATCTAAGCTGTGGTTTAATAATACTAGACTCACTCTAATGCCGTCCTGATGATTTCACTGCAATTTATATTCTTATGGTTTGATCTAAGTCATAAAATATCTGAGGAAGCAAATTAAGTATATTTTTAAATCCGTTTGTCTGAATTTACAAGTTGTTCATTTCAAGGGATCAAGACAATTTGACAATCGGCATGGCATCGCCACGCCAATGGGGCTTCCATTGCATGATCTGGTCTCAAATCGTTAACTTCTGAATTTGTTGTCTTCTTTATGATGAATATCTTTTTATAATTTAAATGTGGTTTAAACCCTTTGTTTTAAAACTTATTCCAATTTGCTTATTTTACTTTCAGATATTCTATTTAATTCTCAAACTAGAATTACAACACTTCATTTAGTTGGTCCCGATTGTCACAACATACTAATGTTGAATGGTTTTTTTTTGCTGTCGTGAGCATGTGAGGACATTTGTTTCAATTGATTATCCAATTTTCATTATTTTCTCTCCTCTTGGTAATCATGTTTCCAACTAAACTTACCTCTATTCCCCCCTCCCTTTCTGATCTAACTCAAAAAATTAGGCCTGTGTGGAGTTGCTCGAAGAAGAAAACGTCCAAATTCCATCTTGGATCTGCTTTAGCTCTGTAGATGGTGAGAATGCCCCATCTGGAGAGAGCTTTGAGGAGTGTCTGAAGGCTATTAATAAAAGTGACAAAGTAAATGCAGTTGGAATAAACTGTACACCTCCTCATTTTATTGAAGCTCTCATTTGTAAGTTCAAAGAGGTAGGAACCAAATCTCTCACAGCTGTGATTTGATATTGTTTTCGTGTTCACTGGTTTTGACACCATAATATTCCCTTCAGTTAACAGACAAGCCCATAGTTGTTTATCCTAATAGTGGCGAGGTATGGGATGGTAGAGCCAAGAAATGGCTGGTGAGTCAAATGATTTTCCCCATCCCCACTTTGATATTTTCATGGCTTGTGGGCCTACATTGTGATATTTCCAGAAGACTATAACTAATGTAATGCTCTGTTTTTTTGGCAGCCATCAAATTGTTTTGGTGATGACAAATTTGAATCACTTAGTTCAAGATGGCGTGATTTGGGAGCCAAATTCATTGGTGGCTGTTGTCGAACAACACCATCTACCATCCGAGCGGTATCAAAGGTTTTGAAAGAAAGCCCTCATTAGTGACAGCTGAGTAAGTCAACTGTCTGTAGCTGCATGTGATTGTTGAATGAACGTAAAAGATTATATTAAAGCGAGAGGCAAGTTAGTCAGAACCTTCAAACTACTTTCTTTGCAATAATTTTTAACCTTTATTTTATAAACTATTAGATTGGGGTGTTACTGTTTGTACTTCAACATACTTTTACCCACTTTATAGATTGTTACTGTATCAAACTTGAAAGACTTGTTGAATACAATAGGCATGTTCTCTGTTCATCACAATATTCAAATACTATTGAGGAAAAAAAAACTATTACATTTTGGGAGCACATTTTTATATTTTATTTAGAAAAAAATGATAAAGATCCTAGAGAGTCTGGATAATGCTAACTTTGGATGCTGTGGTAGAGCTTGGATGTTCACGAGCAGAAACATAAAAACTGACGGAGTTCCAATGCCTTACTGGATTAGGATATATATATATAGATATATATATATAGATATATATAGATATAGATATAGAATTTCTCCCAATATTCCCAATCTTAGTTGGATATAAAATACCTGCAAGTGTGCACATATATATAGATTGACTGATTTGGGCATGTCGAGCTGGGCTGAGAAAATCTTCTTTTTTCTGGGAAAGAATAAAAAGTATGGGATGAGACAGAAGGCAATGGATAATGCAATTAGGATGGGGGTCCTACTGCAACCTTAACTTTTAGTTGAACCAAAAATAGAAGTGTCCCTTCTCACAAGTAGAAAGTTGAGTGATGGGTTGGTTTCGTACTTTTCCTCATCCGTCTTAATTAGGATGCCCCACAAATTTACGCGGCCAATCAGAAAACGAGCCTTTGGATGAACTTCAATCCCTCGACCAATGAAAATGTGGATAAGGCCCTTCTGTGAACCCACCCACTGCAAGTTCTTTTGTAAATAAAAGAAGTGCCCAAAAGTGCAATTCCTCTCCAATCCAGACCCTTCTCTGCTGTGAATTTAACTGGAAAAGCGCAGTCTGTGGGCCATTTCCTTGGCCCCTCGATGGCGTCTTTTTGAATAGCTTGTCCCTAATACTTATAAAAAATAGATGAACTAGAAAATATCAGACTCCAGCTTTATGAACAGTGTCCAATTTGAAACCTGCAAGTTGAGTCTTTGATACAAACTCAGATTCTCTCACCTTTCTGGTTAATTGAATTCAATGACGACGAGGAAAAGTGTGGAGAAAACAGCAGAGGGTGGTAAGACTGCCAGAGCCTGCGATAGCTGTATCAGCAAGCGGGCTCGGTGGTACTGTGCTGCCGATGATGCTTTTCTGTGCCAAGCTTGTGATGCTTTGGTTCACTCCGCCAATTCCTTGGCTCGTAGGCACGAGCGTGTTCGTCTTCAAACTGCCTCTTTCAGACCCTCCTCAGATAAGTCCTCTGCTGCCTCATGGCATCAGGGCTTCACTAGAAAGCCACGGTCGCCTCGAATGGGAAAGGCTGCTCTGGCAAGGAAGCCATCTCCTCAGGTACCGGAGGTGAATGCTAAAGAAGAAACTGAAGATCAGGAACAGCTCTTTCTTCATCGGGTTCCTGTTTTGGGAGCCGATTCAAATGTTGGTGATTTGGCTAGTTTTGTTGGGGAAAAAGAAAATTCAAATGGGTATCTCTCGTACGATATGGATCCTGCTGAATTTGCAGCTGATGTTGAAAGTTTATTGGGTAACTCACTTGATACTGAGTGCTTTGACATGGAAGAACTGGGGCTGGGGGCTTCCCAAGACGACTGGACGACGAAGGATGATAACTCTTTCAACAGCTGCGAAGTTATTAAGATTGAACCAGATGAGATTGAGGAATTAACTCCGATGATGCTCGGCGTTGAAACCGATCCAATGAGGGAGCCATTTGATCTAAACTTTATGGACTTCAGCGACAATCCATCCTGCGATAAGGAAGAGAAGGCGAGTGTGGAAGTCATGGCATTGGCGAAGAACCATGAATTCGAGGTAGAAGAAGAGACGAAGATTGCAAGAAACAAAAAGAAAGTATCATTGACTTTGGATAGTGAAGCAGTGATAATAGCATGGGGGAGCAGAGGAACACCATGGACATCCGGTGAACGGCCGAATGTCGACCTCGATTATTACTGGCCGGATTACATGGTATGTTGCCTCATCTTTTTCTTTATGTCCTATGAAATTTAATGTCTCATATTGCTGTTTAAGAATGTTATATGTATAATAAATGCTCTGTCTCTGAAAGTGATTTGTGTGTTTTTATGAAGGGTATGTGTGAGAGTGGACATTATTATCAGGCTTACGGGGAGGTTGGCGGCGGAATCAGGCGGCAAGCGGCGGCCGGAGTTGAAGGAGAAAGAGAAGCAAGAGTGTCGAGATACAGAGAGAAGAGAAGGACGAGATTATTTGCAAAGAAAATAAGATACGAAGTTCGGAAACTGAACGCAGAGAAGAGACCGAGAATGAAAGGGAGGTTTGTGAAGAGATCCTCTTGCTTTGCGCCGCCACCATTCCCTTTGTTTAATTAATGCTTAATTATTAACATCACACACATATATATATATATTATTTCAAATTTGTGCAAGTTCTTAATTTAATCTTGATTTTGTACCAATAATCTAAACAATAATGCCTTTAATCTAAGTTTAAGGTCATTATATTCATTGGAATATCATACTTCTCTTTTGTTTCCTAGAACGGTTTAATAAAGCATTATCGGTGACTGTTACTGTAACATCTTATGTCTTAGATTTAAATCAGAGAATTTTGCACTTATACCAACATATTATATCCTCTCTCCTCCTAACAGACTAGTGTTAATTTAGGGACATTTTCGTCCAAATAAAATATTGAGATGGTAATATAAATAACCATTTTTGCTCATTTGAAAAATAAGGTCAAATAGTTATCCTAAACCCTAATTAGAGATGTTCATTTTACCCATAGGATTAGGGCTTGGTCGGGATCCACATCAAATGTGAAGGAGATTCCCGTTTAGATGGGGAATGGAGAAGTGAGTGAGGAATATTTTTTTATTTTTTTCTTATTAGATAAATGGCCCGAAGACAAGATTATATTCCTCGTCCCTGTCTTCACTCTGTTTAATATAAATATATTTTCAATCACATAATATATATATTTTTTACTATATTAAAAAAATAATTAGATAATTTCGAGCCTCTAATTATAATATTTAAACTAAATACTATACAACATGTATATACGCATATACTTTTTAGGAATATATATATATATATATATATATATATATATATATATATATATATATATATATATATAATTTTTTATTAAAAAAAATAAATTAGTTAATTTTAAAACTTTAAATGTAATATTAAGAGTTAAATTTTTGAAATTTTGTTATATATATCTATGACTATATATATATATATTATATTAAAAAATTAAAACTTTAAAATAATTATTTTCATTTAAAATAATAAACAGGTAAAAATTACTCTTGGGAATCCGATCATCACAAAAATAAATGAAAACTTTTGCGATAATAGAGAATGAAATAAGTAGCGGGGATGTAGAAGTCTTCTCTATCCCCGCCCCGTCCGGTGAGCATCTCTAACCCCTACTCATTATTGGGCTCAAAATGAATTCATCCCTAGCAGTGGACCAGGCCCATCAAGCCCAAAATCTTAGGCCCATAGTGAGTACAAACTGGGTCCAAAAAGATTCCATCGCTAATTCGGGCCCGTAAACTTTTGACTAATGTTTTGACTAATGGTTCGACCAATTCGAAGAAAATTCCAACAATATAAACAAAAAATGGACAAAGGTTCATTAATTCGTATACTAAAATTATATGAATTTATTATTATTATTTATTATTTTTTTATTTTTTATTTTTACAATATATTTATACATAAATAAAAAAGAAAAAAAAAGTCGGAAAATTGCAGAGCTCAGTAAATACTAATAACTGCTTTATGCATAGGAAATCAACACTCCATCCCTAATTCCTAATTAATTATTTTAATTTCATTTTTAATTTCCATTACTGAGCCGAATTAAGAGTCAGCTCCAGCTCAACATCCTCCTCCTCAACCCACATTCCATTTCTCAAAACCCAACCCGGTTTCCTCCGGTTCGTCATCAAATCATCGGCCATTCGGTCTATCTCTATCACCTCCACATTCGACCCACTTCCCAATTCATGACCCGGTCCGGGTTTGGGTTTGGATTTGGCTCGATGGTCGGGCTTTTTGAACCGGTTTCGAGTCTTGCCCTTGTGAAGCTCGCCGGGAACTGCCAAATTGGTGTCGTTACAAACATGACGAATGTCGCAACATTTAAGGGAAAGGTTAGTGTTTGACAGCGGCGCGTCTGGTTCGACGATCATGGATCCGGTCAACACGGCGTCGACGGCGGCCTGACACTTATCCCAGTCGCCGGAGCAGAGCAATCCGACGGAGCCGTAGACCGGATTCACCATCCGGCCGCATGCCTCGTACAGCAACGACTTGAAAATAGCTAAAAACAGACAACTTTCAATGTCATTAAATAAAATAAAAATAAAAATAATAAATTTTACATACCAACATTTTGAATTTCCTCATACATGTTCATAAAGAATATATTTTTAATTCTTTATATAATGTAATCTTTTTAGGGTAAACAAAAAAACAACAAATTTAACTGTTTTATATAATTTTTTAATCCAAAAAATTTAAGAAATTGGTTCAAGATTGTTGGGAGAGAGTCCACGTTCCCTAATTTAGGGAATGATGTTTATAAGTAAATAATATATCTACATTAGTACGAGGCTTTTTGGGTAAGCTCAAATCAAGCCACGAGAGCTTATGCTTAAAGTGGACAATATCGAACTATTGTGAAAACCCGTGATTCCTAATATCAAACCGTGTTAGGAATCATCGATTGATAACTAAGGAATATAAACGATGAGCCCTTTTGGGAAAGTCCAAATCAAAGTCACTATAGTTTAGGCTTAAAATGGACAACATCATACTATTGTGAAGATCCGTGATTCCTAACCCGATTTGATATCATAGGTAAGGAATTATGATAAAGTGAGAATTACCAGGGCGGAGGTGTTCTGCGGCGGCGGTTATGAGGTTGAAGAGACCCGCACGGCCATAGAATTTGGCAAGAAAGATGGTGGCGTTGGCCTGAGAATCAGGGGAGGGGATCCATTGAAGACAAGGTCTGATAATACAGTCATGGCTGCAGCCTTTGCGAAGGATCCGGCAGCCATTGCAGCTCATTCTCATAATATCAAGACTTTTGTGTGTGAGGAAAGAGCTAGGAGAAGAGAAGAGGGGTATTTAATAACCAAAGAGGGCGAAGGGCATTAAGGTAATTTCCTCACTTTGAACTGCAAATTTGCAGTCTACTTTCTAATTTCAAACTCCAATGAGTGGGGCACTGATTCTTATATTTAACATTAACCCATTAAATTTGAAGCCTAATACATACTTTGTATTAAATAATACAAATAATGTCATGGAATCCATAGTTTTAGCTACGTAAACTCACAGATTTTGTACGTTCGAGTGTATCCTTAAACTTTTAATTTTGTATTTAATAGGTTGTTCATGAGTTGTCGAAAAACGGGTGGAGAGTTTTATAAGTAAGGTAGAAATGGAGGAAAGAGAAGGAGAAAAGGAGGTGGAAAAGTGGAGGACATGCAGTGGTAAAAGCAAAGAAGAAGAGAAAGGCACACAGAAGTAGGAAGCTTAATGGGAAGGGGATGTGTTCTATTGCCCCCACAACATGCCACTTTTCCTTCTCTACCACCACCTTTTCTCTCTCTTTTTACCCTTAATAATTATATATACGTTTTTTTTTTAAATTTTTTACCCCAAATTGAAAATTTAAAATCTTTTAAAGTTTGGAATTGGTACAATTGAAAGAGGGGTTTTTTCAATTTAGCCACTAATTCTCGGTATCTGTAAAGTTATATGTTATCTAAGTCGTTGTGTTGTCTTTTGTTCATAGTTATATAACGTTGTTGTTAAATTTTTCTCTCATTCGTACTTTCAAACTCGTCTTTAAGAATCTTTATGGCCATGTTTTTGTTAGGAATCACGACTCTCCACAATGATATGATATTATCCACTTTGAACATAAGCTCTCATGACTTTGCTTTAGGCTTCCCCAGAAGGCCTCGTACCAATGGTGATATATTCTTTCCTTAGATTAGCCAACGTGGGACTCACTCCCAACAATTCTCCCCTCAAACAAAGTACACTATAAGCCTCCCCTGAGGCTTATGGAGCTCTCAAACAACCTCCCCTTAATCGAGGCTTGACTCCTTTCTCTAGAGCTCTCAAACAGTTTTCTAAAAGCTTCTTCTCAAACGGGATCAGAGGCTTGAGCATAAGTTGTCTGACTATAGGTGACACGAATACAATGAGTTTAACGTAATAAAATATATTATAAATTAAAAAGTCAAAGCGTTGGAAGAGATAAATAATGCAGCCATTGGAATATAGAAACCGCTGAGGAGCAAATGGTTTGTGTGGGGGAGAGGATGAGTGAAGTTAATTAAGTATTAAGTGGTTTCCATTTTTTGGGCTTATGACTTTGATTCTCTGATTAATGTGGGGATTTTGTTGTCTCATTAAACTTGATACTCTTACCCATAATTAATCCCTTTTTTCCCCTTTGGATTTGCTAATTTAAGTATATTGTTTCATGCCCTAAATGTACACTTCCATTAGGGCTTCTTTTTATCGTTTCAATCAAATAGGTTTTTTGTTTAATTACCATAAACTTACTAAAAAAGCTAAACTTAGAAAATAGTGCTCGGGTTGATTTTTATGTGCACATATATTTCAAGGCAATAAGCTTACGTTTCATCATTTAAAAGATCGAGTAGTCAACAAAATAGGGAAAAGAAACGTTTGTAGGCTCAACCGACACTAGCATGATATATGTGTAAGCTACTCTAATACTTCAATTATTTTATGGCTTTCTTTTTAAAAGTAAAGATGAGACCAAGTTTGCACGTTAGGTTAGTCTTAGAGTTGTCCTCACATTGATTAATGGTCCAATATTCATATTGTTTAACTTTTTATTGGTAGTCTGAATCATCGTGACATGTTTCTGAATGTAATTCAACCACCTAAGCTTTGGAGACGAGGCGCGTTTTTAATCGTCTTCAAAATATTATTATTACTATCAATCATGACCATACGTTTCTATATCCATTGTAATTAATCTTGATATTGAAATTGAAATCCCTCTAGGGTTTTCTCAAATGGTCCTCGTTTTTTATGTATTAGTTTTAAATTTGAAAAATAGTCTATATGGATCCATAAATTTTGGTAGCAAAGCCCGTTCCATCAATTTTGGGCCCGCTAGCTCATACATGGGCTAGTGGTACGATCCGCGGTCTGTCAATGGGTCGGGGAGATGGCCCAATAGACCTTAATGGGCCGGTAGGGTCCGTTACTCTTCAATGGGCCGGATACCCAAACTTTATATGTAATTACGCTATTCAATTTAATTTCAGAAAAAAAAAAAAACCATATATGAGCTATCAAAATTTGAATAATAGTAATAATACTCACACCTACCATATGCTGGAATATAAATTGAAATATTAAATTTAATATTCAAAGTTCAAAGAAATATTAAATTTACAAACCTACCCATCCTACCTCATAAATAAAAAGACAGCTTATAAAGCTATTATATATATATATATATATATATTTCAAAATTTAAATCTTCAACTTATAATTAAAATAATCAATTCCTAACTGTTCATCCACGGTGAGTATAAAGGCTTCCCCAACCGACCTAGTACCAATAGAAATGTATTTCTGTCTTTCTAAACCCATGATCATTCTCGAAATTTTCTTAAATTAGTCAATATGGGACTCACTTCTAATAATTCTCACCACCTAGCAAGAAATTATTATATTGTTCGCTTCAAATTTTTTACTAATTTTTCTCTATAAATATTTGTTGTCACCAGATTTTGTTTACCCATAAATTCTTTCACCAACTTTCAATAATCTATGGGTATTTTCCTTTGTTTTATGAAGAAATTTGAATTTCATTTAGAAAAAGAGAGATAAATGGTCAATTTTATTCCAAAATCCAAATTGCAAGCAGACAAAGAAAGCAGGCCGCTAAGTGCATAAATAAATTGCAGGTTTCTTAACTTCTTCGCCGCGCAATACCCGCCGTATTCTCATATCTCGATTTCTCTGTTTTTTTTTTCCTTCCTCCTAATTTTCCAATAAAACCACCAAAATAATAAAAATTAAATTAAAATTGAAAAAAATGTAAACCTTGTTACCTAACCATTTACTACTACTAGCAGCGGGGTTCGGTCATATTCTTCCCTATTATTAGGTCATCAACTTTTTTAACTAGAGGGTTCGTACTCATTACTAGGTTTGTTTTTTCTTATCGGTGGGTGTTCCAATGTATGACAAATAAATTATGGCACAAACCAACAACCACAGAGATTTCCAAATCTCCCTTTCCTAAACCAAACAAACACTAAAATCCAACCACCATTCTACTTCTTCCTACTATTTATATCACTCATTTTAACTTTAGATTTGTCCCCTTCAAGCACTTCCCTCTTTTTCATGAATCCATTAAAAAAAGACTTCAGCTCATGATTAAGTTACCCAGAGTACAATTGGTCATTTTTTAAATGACTTGATGAGAACAATAAAATCATTTTTAAAATTTCAGTAAACCCTTGTCCATATCAAAATTTCTCCTCTCTCAACCAACGGCATCTGATTTTATAGGGTTGGGCCTGGTGATGAAGGCCCAGTAGGCCCAATAAGGAGACAAGTCCGAAGTGATAAACGGATATTTCTGTAATGACTGACAGATCATTCAGATTGGACACTGAAAGGACATATTATACACCAGTTTAATTCTCTTCTGGCCTCTGGTTTTTTGCAGTTAAAAAGTTGGTGTTTTGATTCAAGTCAAAGACAATAGAACAAAAGAACATGGAAGAAGAAATCACTAGTCGGCACTACTGCTGCTACTACACATTGTTTGCTGAAGTGGAATGAATTGAAAAGAAGAGAACTTTATGATTTCATATATAACAAAGAGGAGAACCAAAATAACCCCGGTTTTCTCCGTTGAATCTCAGAGAACGAGCAGAAAAAAAGAAAAGAAAGAGAAAAACGGGGGTATTTTGGATGGAAAAATGAATTAATCCTACTAATTATGAAGAGGATCTGGACAACTGGGTATTTTCCGTTTACTATCTACGAATCCTTCATGATGGCGGTGGGGATCGAGGAAGGCTCTGTCCTTGAAGTATTTTTGAAGTAGTTCATATCGGCGGTTGGCGTGGTCTGTTTTGTCCGTCGTGTGGAGCGGCGGCGGAGGCGGCGGTGGTGGTGGGAAAATCCTTGAAGCTCTAGCTTGAGAGAAACAACAAAAAACCCAAATCTGCGACACCCAGAGGATCAAAATTAGGATGGCAAAAGAAGAGGAAGCGGCGATTCTTCTGGTACACATCGCTGGAAGAAAAGAGGAATGAAATTGGATGAAACTTGAGTTCAGTAGGTTTGAAATCCCGTGTGTATGAGGGTCGACATGAATAAATAAAATGTCAAACCCAAATGGCTTTGTTGTCTGTATTTCTCTCAGATGGGGTTTGAAGCTTAGTTGTGAGATATAAGAACAAAGAAAAGACGGCTATAATGGAATGGGACACTCAGAGAAAAGAGAGAAGGACGACGGTGGGGCCACGTGATGTGGGAATAGCAGGCTGAAATGGTCCACCTTCATATAATATGGTAACGGAACTTGGGTTTGACTCCTTTTCTTCCCTATTCACTAAACAATAGCCAAAACAAGTAGAGTTTTATTCAGAATCCGACCTTTGTCGGTGCCTATTTTTTTATGATAAAGATTCCAAAGAAAAGCCATGTATGGTATAGCCAAGAGGGGGTTTGTTTTTTTCTTTTTCTCCATGATTTTTGATAATACATGACTTATGGGAGTGTTCTTGGGGAGCTCCCCAACCCAACTGGGGTGTAAAACTTAGAGCAGAGTAGGCGTAAGATGAATGAGAAATGAGGCAGTTCCGAAGATGTAAAAGGAAAGGGCCACGTTCTATCAATTTCAGAAAGCCTGTGTTGAGTTCTGAGCATGATGCAGGCATTAAAGTTCAGCAACTTTTGCTTCCTATTTCCACTTTGTACTCTTCTTCTGTCTTATCACCTTTTAATCCTCTTCCGGTGTCTTTTATTACCTTTGCCTTTTTCCTTTTGGCCCTTTCGCCTTCTCACTCCTCCATTTTCCTTCACTCACTCATGAAAAGAAGGCTAAATGTTTTAAATTTTCAGAAAAAAAGTTAAATATCTTTTTCGACCGACCCTCTTAATAGTTGAACTTTTGAGAGTTTTGTTAATATCTTCAATTTTTTGAACATAAATAGAAACAATTAACAAAAATAGTTTTGAATTTTAAAAAATTGTATTTGCACCCATAATATTTATTTAAAAATCTTGGGTTGGAGAGTCGAGAAGAATCCATTTAAAAATAACTCATACCAATATTTTTTTTCCATATAGACACTCATTTTTCCCTATTTATCCAACATTAACAAAACAAAACACAGCAAAGTATAAAATATCACAAAAATCTCAAAATCAAGCACTTTTTTCGAAATATCATGAACTTCTTAAATCAATTATATAACAAATAAACTAATTTGAACTAAAAAAAAAATGATCAACAAAATCTAAATTACTACAAATTTGGCAATGGCATTGCCATTGGCAATTTGACAATGCATATGTTTTTCTCCCTCACACTGATTGTCCTCACAATTGTGACCTAATTTTTCAATGTGTCTTACTTTTTATGTGTGAAATCTAAACATATTACCTTACCTTTAATTACTAACAGATAACCTTGTTAAAATATATAAATTCCGACATTTTTTAGTTAATTATTGTTCGTTCTTCTTGCTATAACCTATATATACCTTGATTGAATGGGTAGTTCTAAAGGTTGAAGAAAGAAAGTAGAGTAAAAAGGATATTTAAGAAGATAGATTTATGATCCAAGTAGAGAAGAAAGAAAATGAAAAAGAGAAGTCATATGGTGTAGATTACTAATGGTAAAAGCTTTTTTTTAGTTTTAAAATGATCAATGAGATTATTTTTAAAACAAATTACTAAAGATTTAGTCCAAAAATCAAGAATAAAAGTTTTTAAAAATTATTTTTAAAAAAAGTTTTAAGACAGTATTTTCTAAAATTTAGGGCAAGAAAGAGGTTGGGAAAGTAAGGCAAATGACTTGGTCAATAAGGGAATTCAACTTCTTCTGATTTGACAGCTACTCAAAGTTCCAATATACTCCGTTCTTTCTTTTTCTAATAACTTGGAATTATATACAAGCTTGGTTTTCTCTATATTGAACCAAATCACAAGCTGTCTGTGACTGACTCCAAAAAGTAATACTCTGACTGAAATATTCTTTGCTTAAATCTTATTCAACATACTTCCTCCAGCCACTAACAACAAAGGAGCCTCTCCCTTTGGCAATCAGTATATGACAGTCCACCTTAAATGATACATTTTGAACATATATAATAATCTTCAGAATTTGGCTTCATTACCCAAAGCTCCTATCATCTTCAAAACCTCTTTTGCTCATGAACACCATGAATTTACACACAGTCTGATCATAATATATCATCAGGGACCCAATAGAGATAAACCAATAATATGCCTATATGCGGAGGAGATGGGGTGGATTTTAAGCATAGCTAGCCATTCCGACCACTGAGTTTGAACGGCTTGCCTTAGGAGATAACTTTGCGACTGTAACCTTTGTGAAGGATGGTAGATTTTTAAGAGGTGCAATTGAAAAAAAAAAAAAAACACCTTTCTGCAGTGTTCACTGGAGAAGTTCAGAGAATCACTCGTAGATATGCACTATTGATTGTATCTGCATCTGCAACCAGGAAGTCTGAAAAGAAGCATTAAACACAAAATTCGAACTTCTTTCACGAGTTGGTCGAAGTTTGTATTCAATGACTGACTTCAATGATGCACCCAAAAGATTTTGAACTTACAGGGAGGTTTTAATTTCCATAATTGTTAGCTTGACAACGTCACCAGGATGAAAAACGAGTTACGGACTAGAGATGATGTTTTCAAGGAGGAAATGATCTTCCAAAAGATTGGACAGTTCAGCATCCATAAACAGTGATTCAATAGCTTGGAGAATTAAGAAAGCACCCGTTACATTGCGGATAGCAACATCAGAGTCTTACGTAAAATAGGTGGTGTTGGTCCTCCCATGTTTATTCTTGGTGCTCAGATACGAATAAGTGAAAGTGATACAGCGAACTGAGAAGGAACTAAAGGAATCAAATAACAAGATGCCAATTGAGACACTCGAGCTTAATGAGAGTTCTAAAACTTGGGGAGAGGAAAAGGAAAGGGAAAAGAAAGAGAAAATCCTAGAAAATTGAATGAAGTTTTTTATCATGCAAGTTATTTCTAGTTGACAGGGAACTATGTTCGAGTCAAATCAAGTTTTGGATTGCTATGTATTTTCTTAAAATTAATTTTAAATATATCTTTTCGAGAAAGCATGTACTAATATAGTATCTCTTAATTGATATAAATTTGTCTATATGATAGTTGTGATCATATATTGTTGATTAATTTAGATAGGGATTAATTGTAATGTCATAAGAACCATTAATTATATTATATGTTTATCACTAATAATCAATCAGAATTGACCAAATTATATGCGTTTTATTTTTATATAATATTTTGTTATAACATACCAAAATAGAATATTAAATTTACAATTTCTTAAACTATTATTTTGTAATTGTTGGGATAAATATACTTTTAGTACATGAGATTTAAGGTTAGTTTTTATGGGGTTAACAACACTAATTTACTATCTTTGCTCATTCCATTCATATTATTTTGATTTTGTTGATTAGTTGGCCTCACCTCCATGGCACCCTTTTTGCAAGGGTTTTTCCCATCTGTTTATCAGAAAGAAGCTTTCGACATTTCTACCAATTAGTACTGCAAGTTTGGTTGTCTTACCCTCACTATGTTCACATATTCTCTTTATTTGGCAGCATTTTTTGCCTCACCACTACGTTGGTGCTCTTTCCTTTCACAAAAGTGGAATTCCTTGGTGCCAAACCAATCGCTTAACTATAGATGGCATCAAATCCCAAATTTTTCTGTATTTTTAAGTAAGGAGAGATCTTATTATTTCCTGAATTATTTTGCTGAATGAGCGACTTCGGAGATAATTTTCTCATTCTCCTCAGAACGAAGACAATGATGTAATGAAACTAGATCAACCTAACATATAATGAGTAGGTCCCACTTTAATTTTATCACAAGTTATTCTGAAACACCAGATCTCGGCATTTTTTTCTTGGAATTGAGAAAATTAAGAGCCTGGTGGAAGATGTTGGATTTAAGATGCTATTCCTACGGAAAGAAAAAAATGGATTCCACGGAAAGGCGTCAACACCAAGGTTATAACTAGGTGAGAGGCAATTGCCCATCAGTCAAAAGTTTTTGTTTTGAGTTGGTTATTTTTTCGATTTCGCATTGGTATAAAATGGATTTTTAAAGAAATATTTTCAATTCACGTAAATTTACTAGTTTGTTCTAAGCTTTTGAAAATGATGCCAAAAGGTCTGTATTTTTTCGCGCAGGTTCTCTTCTAATCCTTTCTCTCTGATCTATGAGCTTCAATTTATTCAAGAGGCAGATATGACAGTAGTCTATGCTAACATAGGTTTTGGGTGTTTAAAAAGCTGATCTTCGTGTCCACTTACTTTTATAAGAAAATAAATTACCGATTGGGCAAGGGCAAAACAATTTTTTTATATATATAAAAAATAAACAATAAAGAGGAAATCATGAAAGAAGCCTGGAAGGCAGTAAGAACCTTGTCTAGAGAGGGAAGCTACAAAAATCTGGCAATTAGGCATAAACATGATAAAAAACTTTCCATACGGAAATCTAGCTGGAAACTTCAGAAGCGACCTAACTTTCACGCTTCTTCCACCAAACATTTTCTTGTCAACAAAATTGCTCTTATTCCTCTCTTTTAAACATCCCAGATATTGCCAAACTTGGATTGATCTAACTGGTCTCACTTTGTTTCTGAAACAAGGGTCCACAATGAGTTGAAAGGCTCCAAAATCCTGGTTTATCACTCAACTAAGACCAACAGATTTAAAGGTTCTACATCCATTGTCAATAAATGAAGACGTCGCCTAGGTACATTAAACAGTGACTCGTGTTGAAACATGAAAAAGATTAACCCCGAGTATGCGAGTCTAGCTGATGGATATACAAGGGAAAGATCATTTTTATCTTATCTGTACAAGAATAAAAGGTGGAGATCTTCAAAGAGTAGAGTTCTAGGAAAATATTGGTTAGCAAGTGCCTGAATTGTAAAGAGTCGGTGAGATTTCACTAATCAGTTGTAGTGAGTTGGCCTAGTTTGTTATACTAGAGAGGGGGCATAAATGAGTCTCTACAATTCAAATGCGGCATCAGCTATTTAAATTGTGCAGCCATATGTTACAAGGAAGATGGTTAACAGAACCAGAATTTGTATCACTGTAGTTTTTCACACTTTCTTCCTATTGCCAAGTCAGCTAATCCGAACATTTGCTTAGAGGAGTTCGAGAATGTTATGCTAGTAGTGGTTCCTCTAGTTCAGGTTATCTCTATGGCAGCAATTGATGTAAACCGAGATATCCTCGGTATCCTAACACTGACATGCTTCCGTTAAAGAAATCTCAAGGATTACTAACAAATTTAGATACGAGTCATTATCCAGAGCTCCTGCTCTTAGAAAACAACGAGATTTTGATACAACAAGCATACTCTCAACAGAGGTTACTCAAATCTTAATCTATTAAGCCAGAGTAATCTTAATACAGTAATGCGCTTAATAACACTATAGGATGAGCTCAAAGACTAACTAGATTTACGAAATTCAATCTTGAAACAGATTGTTCTGATTACATAAATGCAAAATCAACAGTAATCCTACGAGTTTAAAGTCCTAAATTAGAGTAAATTAAACAAGAAAACCACAGACAAACAATGCTTACAAAAACCGAGAATCAAGAACAATTCAGTATAGTAAATAAGACGGAGAATGTGGTACTTACACGGTTTTCAATCCTTTAACATCATTCTAGTCCGAAAGTTGACAAAAGAGCGCCGAAAATGCTTCATCATAATCTCAGGATAGCAATGGCGAACCACTACGTATAAGATATCACGAGTAAGCGAGAGTGAAATGCAACTTTTCAATTTGAACTGTACCTTCAACAAAGAAAACGGAAAACGAAAAGGATAGAGAAATTGTACCTTGGACTTGCTGAGCCTGCTTTGGTTTCAGGTAAGAGCTTTGAAGTTCGTTGTTCCAAGTGTGGCGCTCCCATGGAACCGACGAGACGACTGGGTCCGGCAAGCGTGATCCCGCAAAAAGCCACGAAAATGGGCCCGAATGGATATTTTGGCCCACATTTGAAATAAATTTAGATTTTTTTGAAATAAAAATCCTTGCATTTTATTATTATTTTTTATTTTTTAAAAAGAAAATTCATATACTCAAAATATTATATTATTAAAATTAAATATTGATTAATATTTATATATCGTTGATATACTCAAAATATTACTAAAACAACGCATGATTGACCTCAATATCAATTCACCACTAGTAAATATTATATTTTTAAACTTTTTCTTCCGCTCAAGATTTTAAAACGTGCCTGCTATGGAGAGATTCACTCTCTTATAAAGAATGCTTAGTTCATCTCTCCAACCGATGTGAGATCTCACAAATATCTACTTTTGTATTACTGATAAATATTTACGATTATCAAAGGTAGAAATAAACTATCTATTTTTTCGGCCATGGACAAAAAATAGTTTATAAAACATATAAAAATTGAAGTGGTTAAAAAAGTTTTTATAAAGAAAAAAAAAAATTAATGCTACGATATTTTTAAATATAGTTTTGAAAATAAATATATTTTTAAATTTAAAAAAACTTTAAATGGTAATAACAAAATATAAAATTGTATTGAAATAATAGCCCAAGACAAGGCTCTGGGCTTTGGGCTCCGAATGAGCGGCCCATAACCATGAATCTAGTCTACGTGGCATCCTCTCTCTCTTTCCCTCCCATAATGCAAGGGGTCCACGTAGTTAAGCCCATGGCATGTGAGTGACGTGGGCAGTACCCTTCATTTACGTGGATTACTTTAAATCAGACCCACTTCAATAAATATAAATTTACACGTAGGACAAAGAGAATCGGTCGGCTGAAAATCGTCGGCCCAATTGGGGGAGATAGAGATAAGGGTAATGGGTCGTTGACACGTGTCAAAACGAGATGGTGGAGGGAAAAAGGGATAAGATTTGAAATCCACTGTGTGGTCATTACAAGCGTGACATGATCTTGAATCCCAAGCTTACGACCACTGAATGGGTTGGCGAATGGATAAAAAGGCCTAAGCGGTGGAGAATCGTTGAAGCGAAAGGGGTTGAATTGAGCTAAGGCCTTATAAATACACCATTTCTGAGTGTCAGCCGTCGCTAACTCAACCAGCGCCGGCGTTCAAGTACTCTACTAGCTAGCTAGCTAACAAAAAACAGAACAAAAAACAGAACAGAGGGTATCAATGGCTTCCATTGTCTCCTCCGCCGCCGCTGTCGCCTCCGTGAACAGGGCTTCCCCTGCTCAAGCTAGCATGGTAGCACCCTACACTGGGCTGAAATCCACCGCCGGCTTCCCTGTCACCCGGAAGAACAACGACATCACCACTCTTGCTAGCAATGGTAGCAGAGTTCGGTGCATGAAGGTATTAAACCATTCAATTCGTTTGTTAAAATTATGGGTTGTTCTTAATTTTTTGTGGGTTTGTTTGTAAAGGTGTGGCCACCACTTGGATTGAAGAAGTTTGAGACTCTGTCTTACCTGCCTGATCTTACCAGTGAACAATTGTTGAAGGAAATTGGGTACCTTCTCCGCTCTGGCTGGGTTCCCTGCATCGAGTTCGAGTTGGAGGTTAGTCATATTAAGAATCACGACTCCCCACAATGGTATGCTATATAGAAAATCCCCCCTCGAACAAAGTATACCATAAAGCCTCTTCTGAGGCCTATTAAGCTCTCGAACAGCCTCCTCTTAATTGAGGCTAGACTACTTTCTCACGACCCTTTACACCATTTGTTCGACATTTGATGATTCTATTAACATGGTTAAATTAAAAGCATAATTCTGATACCAGACATGACATTGGTGGCTTGGTTTTTGGCTAACAAGAATTGAGATGTATTACTTGCTTATAAACTCACGATCATATCTGAACTGGGTTTGGATAATTTTGCAGAAGGGATTTGTGTACCGTGAGAACCACAGGTCGCCGGGATACTACGACGGACGGTACTGGACCATGTGGAAGCTGCCCATGTTCGGGTGCACAGACCCAGCTCAGGTGGCGGCTGAGATCGAGGAGGCCAAGAAGGAGTACCCCAACGCATTCATCAGGGTCATTGGGTTTGACAATGTCCGCCAAGTGCAGTGCATCAGTTTCATTGTCTACAAGCCTGCATCCTACTAAGTTTCTTCATTCCCGCCCATCGCCGCCTTCACTTGGGTTTCAACAAATTTATTTCCTTTTTAAACCTTAATTTTCTCTTTACATTTTGTTGTGTTCATCATCAAGCTATGTTTATTTCCCCGACTTTCCAACTCGATTCGGAATAAATGATGCTTTGATTTGTTGTTAAGAACTCAGTATCAATCTTTCTATCTTTATGCATCGCCAAATTCTATGGAATTCTATCGAAATCGCGATGAAAATTAAGTAATTTTTTTAGATATGATGGAGAGATTGATTGTCGTTTATAATAAGAACGTATATATTTTCGAGTAAATTAATGTTTTGATTGAAGGGTACAAAAGATAGAACCTAACGATTATCAAAATGATGCAAACAAATTTAACTTTTTAATAATGTTGAAGTTTTATTTGTATGAAAAAGAAAAGAAATTAACGAAAAATATCAATTTCTACTTTTCAAGTGCCCCTGTCTTGAAGGAAGCACGACCCTTTATCCGTAGAAATCGCCCACTAGTAACAAAGCTCACATAAGGTATCGAGAGGACTATTACAGTCACGTGCGAATAAATTACCTCCTATTTGTAAAGTACCCCACTTCCTATTTAGGGGGTTGAGGTGAGAAATGGCTTGATGAACCGTTTCGTTCGCCACGCACCGCCCCTATTCACTTGCTTATCGTAGAAGCTTTTAGTATACAGTGCCCCACAACTATTAATAGTATAGTAAGGTTGAAACACGAGAGTGCCCGCCTTTTCTTTCGCGCTGGCCTAAGTCAATCTTTTAGTAAGCATAATCGTGTATATATATCTATATCTATATATATCTTCGATGCTGTCATTTCGAAATGTCCGCTTCAACTGCAGTTTCAACTATCAAAAAGCTAAGTTGGCTTGACGAGCGCAAATATGAGAAAGCAGGAGCAATAAAACAACAAGTCTCTTGCTTAAGGCTTACATCGTAAGGGGTAAAGAGAAGAGCTTTTGCTACTGAGAAAGCGAACGGTCAGCGCAAAGGTTCAAGACTTAACCGAGCGTTAGCGAAGCGCTGTAGTAGCGCTGAAGCCCTGGACACTCCGCCTTATCTATAGAAGCAGCCTTTATGTGAAGAGGGTTTAGGGTTTCCTCTCGTTTTTTCTAATAGGATTAGCTCGTTGGTGAATTGGGCTTCTACTGTGAATTATTGGGTTGTAGACATGCGAGGGCACGGCCACACGGACTCAAACGACTCAACTGGTTCAGGTCAAGTTGGACTCGGTGAAGACGAACTCTTATAGGTTTTTAGACCCTCTTGTTTCATCATTTAGGTTAAATTTTACTTCAAAACTAGATTGAATAGGTTATATTGGTAATTTTCTTACATTAATTTTTTTTTTTTAAATATTGAATATAAATATGTGATTAGGATGAATTTTGATTTCGTTTTCGAAAAATTATTATACAAGTGGAGGAAAATGACATGAACATGTGAACCACTGTTTCAATCCAACAATCAATCCGACCCTTTCCGAATTGTACGGCACAACGACCAAGCCCATTTCAGGCCCATTATTGTGACATGAGTCCAAGCCCATTTCCGGCCTATGATTGTGACATGGGTCCAAGCCCATTTCCGACCCATTATTGTGGCATGGGTCCAAGCCCATTTACGGCCCATTATTGTGATATGGGTTCAAGCTCATGTCCGGCCCATTATTGTTACATGGGTCCAAGTCCATTTACGGCCCATTATTGTGACATGGGTCCAAACCCATCCACACAATTGGGCTTAGGTTTTGCAGCATGTCAGTAAGCCCAAATAGAACGAAGCTTGGGTTAACGGTCGAAGTTATAGCAGGAAGGAAAGAATCTTTGATCCCATCGACAAAATTGTGTCAGAATTCAGAAATCAATACTCCATTAAAGAGACAAGCTCTGCAACAAAGCTGCTTTGAAGAGAGAGAGAAAAAGAGAGGTTAGGAATCCCTCAATTAACCAACATAAACACACTCCCAACAACCTTAAGCGCCCGAACAACCTTTCCTTAATCGTGGCTCGATTCTTCTGAAGTTCTCGAACAAAGTACATCTTTTGTTCGACATGCGAGTCACTTTTGACTACACTTTTGAGACAAGACTACGACTCTCCACCACAATAGTACGATATTGTCCGTCCACCTACTCTCCACAATGGTAGGATGTTGTTAGCTAATCCTCAACTAGAGAGGGAGAGAGAGAGAGAGGTACTTATTCGACCAACAAAGTGGCTTTAACAAAAGCCGGAGAGGTCGGCGATTCCCTGAAGAAGATGCCCTGAAAAAGCAATCTTATGGATCCATATCGGTAGCTAGCGTTATGCTTAAGCATACTTTCAAAACAAAATTCAAAAAACCCAGAAAGAAAGATGAACAGAGATGAACAGAGATTCAGAAAGAAAGATGATGAACAGAGATTAAGAATAAGAAATGTTCTACAATATATCAACATGTTCATCACTTCTACAGACTCCATTTCAAGTTCTTCTGCAATATCTACAAATTGCCTCTCACTCTCTCTCACAAATCATCCCAAAACCAGCGAACAACAACGAAAATTTCCTCAACCTTATGACTTCTAAGTACAAAAATATAATACAAGAGGTTGACCATCCACGCATCGTTGCTTGTTCTTGATCGACTCGAAAAAAGAAAGAAAAAAAAAAAAAGAAAAAAAGCTTAAAAATACATAGCTTTTGTATACATGGGAATTGATTTTCATTTACATTTTCAAAGAACACTTCAAAAGTATTCACAAAAGAAGGGCAAATTGTTTTTGGAGATCTTTGTATTCTATGGATTTGAAATTGAGATGGGTTTTCTAAGCGAAGGCAGGGATGCTGCAATTTTGCCTATCCCTGTCCAGGCAATCGAAACCCTCAATCCTCACCGTTGGTTTGTTCCCAAAACTCGCCCTTACACGGCCGCCTCCCTTCCTGGAGGTTGCTGTAGGGGGCGACAACTGACCTGACGGTGAAGCGATCGGTGAAAAGGGGATGAAATTTTCATCCCCGAAACGGTCGTCCTGAATCAATGGGTTGGCTACTCTGCTCGGCGGAGACCCACGTAAAAAAGGGGGCGTCGAAGCCAACTGCGTAAACGATTGATCCACGCTGCGACAATCCTATAAAATTCAACAACTTAAGCTACCAGGGCCTCCTCTAAATTCCGATATTCATCTCTTATGATCTGAAGAAACGAAAAATGAAAAGAGATAAGAGCATAGCATACCTTTTTCAGCAGGAAGTCAAGCAGATCCGGTCCGGCTGCCATGTCAATTTGCTCAACTTGGTGACTGAAATTCAGTTCAAGAAAGAATTAGCAAAAGGGAGGCATTTCCAAGGGTTCTTCTTTTGTAAAATCACGATAAGAATCAGAAAACTAACCAAACATTCCACCGGAAAAAGCTATCGGCGTGGCCGTTGACGGCGACCTGTAGATTACTAAGACGCCGTGGTTTAGGGCAAACAATATGATCTCTAACGTCTGAAACGGGACGCGGAACAGAGGTCCTCATCTCCTCGTCGTGACCCGAGAAGGTGTTCGACAGAATGCCGCAGTGATTCATACTCGCCTTCGGTTATTCCAAGGGACAAATAAAGCTGGAGAGATGAGAAAGCAACCGAAAACATATGTAATACAAGAAACAAAGCATCCTGGCGACAAATGGCACCAAACAAACGATGAAATCGGAAGAAAATTCAAAGTTTGATTTTGTCCCCCCCGCAAATCGGAAATTGTTCGGAAATTTCGCGAATAATTAAAATATTCAAGCTAAAAAGAACGGACAAAAAAAAAATTAGTTCATTACATGGCATGATCCTTTACATCACTATCATAACAATTAAAAAATTAAGACAAACACGCACATATGTTATCCAAAGCCCCTTAATAGATCGAAAAAAATTAATAATCAAAACCTGCACGAATTCAAAATTATTTTCATAAAATACTAAAATCATAAACGATTCAATAAGTCCTCTAATCCTCAAACCCTAAAACACAACTTCCTTCCCTAAAAACCCTAATCCATTCATCCAGAGTAAAATTAACCATCTCTAGACCTAAACAATTCCAAAAGAACTCCGAAACCAAAACACCAGATCCACGCCAAAGAAGCCTAGAATTTCCATATCTCACAAACAGATTCAAATTCCACCACAACAAAAGAAAAATCAAATAAAAGAGGGAGCGAAAAAGAACAAAACCTGAAAATCAAGTGGCAGCAGTTGAGTATCCAACCTTCAAAAAGTTGAGAGCAGTATTATATACAGAATGAAAGAAGGAAAAGCCAGGACAGCGGCGGGCCGGCGGATGTAAACGGGGAAACAAATACAAAAGGAAAAGAGCAAAAAAAAGAACAGCGCCGCAGTGTACAGAGCAATCAGAAAAGCAGAACAAAAAAGTTAAGAACAGAGGAGAGAGAAAGTAGAGAGAGAAGGCAGATGAAGAAGAAGAAGAAGAAGACGAAGACCGTTCCCAACTCGCTGGGGTCGGAGGTTTGGGCTTCGGTATTTGGGGTTTTTAAATTTAAATTTTTGTTAATTTTTTTTTTAAAATAATTTTCAAATTTCGTATTTATTAAGTAATTGTAAAATTGGCGGTGCCGGTCGAGGCCGACACAAATATCACCGGTTTCAGCGCCTTAACTTTTATAACATTTTATTTTAAATTAATTCTGTGTAAATATCTCAATGTAGGCCCCACCCTTTGATGAATTAAATGGACGGTTATACTTAATTACCATACAAGCTACGTGATTTCGACACGTGTCTTAGATCATGTGGTTAGTTGGCGAACTTTGGTCTTTTCAATGAAGTGATCACATGTTTCGTCCTTTTTTTATGCTTCAGAATATTAATTACATATTATTTTTTTGTAAAATAAGGAAAAATAAATTATATGCTAAATTAATAAATTAATAAAAATAAAAGTTAATTTTTTTAAAAAATTAGGAAATGTGTTTATTTGGATTTTCTAATTTTATTTTAAATTTTGATAATGGAAATGAAGCTTGTTTGACTAATAAAATTTATTGTATTTATGTGGAAATAAATAAATTCTATCACGTCAAAGTAGTCAAGTGTTCAGACGCCCAAAAACAAAATATAATTTAAAAAAAAGTCAAATATAAATTGGAGTAAATATAATGACGTAAACAAAAACCCTTCCAAATTTTACGGTAACCTTTGGGAACCAGCGATGCTCCCACGGTGGCCGACGTCCCTGCTCTTTAAGACGTGCTGGGAAGTGCTTCTGTAAAATAAAATATTTCCCTTCACAAAAAAATAAAATATATATATATATGTATTTAAGTTTATTCGGTTAAAGTTGTCCGAACAGCTAAGGAGGATGTAACAGCCTAAACTCAGCGCTAGTAGATATTATTGTCTTTAAGCTTTTCCTTATGAACTTTTTATCAAGGTTTTAAAACGCTAGGGAGAAGTTTTTCATACCCTTATAAAAGATGTTTCGTTTTCCTCTTCGACGATGTGAGATCTCGTCGGGTGGTACACCAGCAAGGATACTGAGCCCTAAAAGGTGATGGGTACCAAGCAGTGTGCCGTCGAGGACGTTGAGCCCCAAAGAGAAGTGGATTATGAGATCCAACATCGATTGGAGAGAGGAATGAGAGCTAACCAGGACGTTGGGAATCGAAGGAGGGTGGATTGTGAGATCCCACATTGATTGGAAAGAGGAACGAGTGTCAACAAGGACGTTGGGTCTCGAAGGAAGGTGGATTGTGAGATCCCACATCGATTGGAAAGAGGAACGAGGGCTAACGAGGACGTTGGGAATCGAAGAAGGGTGGATTGTGAGATCTCACATCGATTTGAAAGAGGAACAAGTGTCAGCGAGGACGTTGGGTCTCGAAGGAAGTTGGATTGTGAGATCCCACATTGATTGGAAAGAGGAACGAGTGTCGACGAGGACGTTGGGTCTCGAAAGAGGGTGGATTGTGAGATCCCACATTGAATGAAGAAAGGAACGAGTGTCAGCGAAGACGCTGGGCCTCGAAGGGAGATGGATTGTGAGATCCCACATCGGATGGAGAAGAGAACAAAACATTCTTTACAAAGATATGAAAACCTCTTCCTAGCAAACGCGTTTTAAAACTTTGAGCAAAAGCTCAAAAGAGAAAGCACAAAAAGAACAACATTTATCTAATGGTAGCCTTGAGCTGTTTCTATCCCTACTCACCATTTCATTCTCCGTCCTTACAGAACTTGTCATTTAATTTTGCTAGAATCAGGACAATAATTTCCTACAGAGAATACACAAGAATCGAATTTCCAGCCATATAAGGTATAACTTAGGCAGCATGGTGTGTAACAACTGAAGGATTTCTGTGGGTTTTGGAAGATAAATTTGAACTTACTTTTCTCCTAACATAGATTAAGCTTGTTTGGAAAGATCATCATTTTTGGCTCGTGGGTATGCCTTTTACACTAAAATAAAGCTTCAGAAGAGAAAGGGAAAGTAAAAGACCTGGAAAGCAAATCCAAATTTGTTAAGAGGGCACCACCATGAGTGGTGCAGCCTTTGGTTTTGTGGTCGCTTTCAAATTTCTCTCGACGCAAATGAGCATTATTGAATGGCAGCAAATGAGTCATCCAGCAATATATGATTAATAAAGCACATGCCTTGCATCCAAAACAACAGTACACATTATTTATTGAAGCAAACCATCATGAAAGTGACCAAAACTTTCAAATTGACTAATTCTAATAGACTATTGCTTTCCTGTTCCAGATTCCCAGTATCAAAAAAGGATAAACCCCATAGCTCTATTGAAAGTCCTACCCACGTGCTAAAAACGAAACACGGGCGCTCTAAATTCAATATAAATTTCCTTTTCACTCTAATACCATTTTGAAAATTCAACAGTTGAATCAGAAATGTCCTAATCTGGATGTGGTTAGTTTAAATAAAAGGAATGGTTAGGACCTAACTGAATCATCCATATTTGATGTCCTCTGCCCCTCGCTAGTCAACTAGTATTCAACACGCTATTTCTGAATTGAACCATGTTTTTAAATTCCTTCACTATTTTTTGGCATCAACATTTTCAGAGAAGCAAAATTTGCTCTTGAAGTTAACCAATAATACAATCAAATTACAATGGAAGAGATTTAACCTGGAATTTGTCACCAAACTGCAACTTTACACAAGCATTCATGCGGTAGCTTGTTCTGCAGCAGCTGCTGCAGCCCTTTTCTTTGCAAAATATTCTTCTGCTCGAGCGAGGTTCTTAGCCACTGATGGCTTGACCCACTTCTTTCGTCCAGGTAATACAGTAAGGGTGCAGCCAGCAGCCTCAAGCTTCTCTTTTGCTGCTGATGAAAAAGCCCGAGCTTTAATATTTAGCTTCACACTCAGCTCCCCATCAGCTAAAATCTGAAGGAAATACAAAGCCCAGCAATTATCAATCAGTTACCATGACTTAGTGAGATTGAATAGTGACCCAACTCAAGAAGTCCACTTCAATTGGTATATTTTTTCACGAAAAAAGCAAATATGAGATAACAGATCCAATCTTCCACTAGGATTTTGAATAGCTGTCCTGAATTCATGTTGATTGCACATACCTATTACTAAATGTGAGGTCCCGCATTGGTTGGAGAGGGAAACGAATAATTCCTTATAAGGATGCGAAACGAATCATTCCTTATAAGGATGCGAAAATCTCTTCTTAGTAGACGCGTTTTAAAACTTTGAAGGGAAGCCCGAAAGGAAAAGTCCAAAGAAGACAATATTTGGCTATTTGTTTGCAGTGAGTTTGGGCTGTTACACTAAACTTGTCGAGGAGATGAAATATAACCAGATTTATCTATTTGAGTCGATCGACAAAAGAAGAATTAGGCAAAAAATTTAGGAAAGTGCACCATAAGGTCCATTTTGATATTTGCTATCCTCACAATGTAGATACACGTGACATTAGTACCTTTAATGGGAGTTTCCTTTCTCTTCCCGAAGGGTTGATTAGACCCTTCTCCTTCAAAGTTTCCAAGGTGACCTGTTCCCCTTCCTGAAATCCTGCCGCTTCAATGTCTTTCAAATTCACCGGCACATATTTAGGTAACCCAGCATGCATACCTTGAAAGAAAAAACAATTGTTTAGCTCGAATATCATTAGTTGATATAAACGAAACCACGAAAAAGACAAATGTAATACACAACGTATCGTCTTAGAACGTTTTTTAGTGAAAAGAAAGAGTAAGAAATGAGAAGAGAAACACGTCGAGGAAATCACAAAATACGTTCATACATTAGATTGAAGTACCTCTCAACCTGTGATGATAAACTAAACATTCTGACCTTAGTAACAAGGACAAGGCAAGTATACTAATACTATACAAGACATTATGTTCGGGAGTTCATTTATTGGGTCCATGGATGGTGTATTCCATCTAGACGCTTTCATAAGTACATTTTATTCGCATTTAATCCTATTAGATATTTCGTCATTCTTTCGTGTTAATTGATTATCTATTTCTCAATCTGTAACAGCTAAAGTTCACCGCTAGCAAATATTGTTTGCTTCGGCTCATTATGTATCGCCGTCAGCCTCACGGTTTTAAAACGCGTCTACTAGGGGTTTCCACACCCTTATAAGGAGTGCTTTGTTCCCCTCTCCAATCGATGTGAGATCTCACATAAAATTAACAACCTCTCATATCCAGTTTGGAGATAAACTCTCTCCCACTTAGTAGAATACTGGAAGAAGCATCATCATAAACCATTACAGCTTCCTAATCACTCAGCCCAAACACTATAATTATGGTGTAACAGGGAGAAGGACGTCCACTTGGAGAGTGAAAGCTTGTCTCACTAGTCCTACACTCCTAAAAATCTAACAGGGCTGAATGTTCTTCGTTCCAGGTCGAAGGAATTACACAATATTACGAGTAGAACAAGTCCAAACAACTAATAGCAAATGGTCTCCAAGCCCACCGCTAGCAAATATTGTCTTTTTTTAGCCTTCCCTTTCGGGTTTCCCCTCAAGGTTTTTAAAATGCGTCTGCTAGGAAAAATTTCCACACCCTTCTAAATAATGTTTTGTTCTCCACTCCAAACAATATGGGATCTCACAATCCACCTCCTTCAGGGCCCAGCATCCTCGCTGGCACTCGTTCCTCTCTCTCCAATCGAAGTAGGATCTCACAATCCACCCTCCTTCGGGACCCAGGGTCCTCGCTGGCACACCACTCGGTGTCCACCCCCCTTCAGGGCTATACATCCTCGTTGGCACACTACTCGGTGTCTGGATTTGATATCATTTATAACAGCCAAAGCCCACCGTTAGTAGATATTGTCCTCTTTGGGATTTCCCTTTCGGACTTCCCCTCATGTTTTTAAACGCGTGTGCTAGGATGAGGCTTCCACACTCTTATAAAGAATGTTTCGTTCTCCTCCCCAACAGACAAGGAATCTCACAAAGAGGCAGACATTGTCAAAACAACCTCTAAACACTAAACAGCTTAAAATAAATTTGAACTGTCTCTCAATGAAGAAACAACAACCTATAGCAGAATTAGCCATTGCAGACGCCTAACAGCCAGATACGTAGAGCTCTACAATTCATACACATAAAGCAACCAGTAGAATGATAAGAATTACAAAGGTTGGAGATTACCTCCAGCAATTCCTCGAAGTTTAGGGATTCTCCGATAAAGAGGCATTTGTCCACCTTCAAATCCTCTTCTCACACCCGGTCCAGACCTTGATTTCTGTCCTCTCATTCCAAACCCACAGCTACCTCCCTGTCCCGCCGATATACCTCTCCCCTTCCTCTTCGCCTTCTTCCTCGAACCTACCTGCGGTCCAAGATTATCGAGACGGAACCGCACACTCTCACCGGACGAAGCAGACAGGGAAGCCGCAGCAGCCTGGCTGCGAACAACCAATCGTTTCCCATCTGCGACCGTGAATTTGAGTCTAGATGAACAAATATTAAACGGATTTGAGTTCAATAGCCTCACATTTCCCTGGAAATGTAAAGAATTAGAGTTTCGTGAATGATAAAAGCATCAAATCACTTGAAATTTGAACTGAACTAACATCTGCAATTTTCAATAAAGTAATCGAGAACTACCTTGAAGGAAGTGGTTGAATGAGGAAGAACAGTGGCCGTTCTGGTCAAAGAAATTGAAGATAAGGAAAGAAAAGCCGCCATGGATGAAAGCCAGTGCTTACAGACTCTTAACAGTTGTCGTCCCGTTCCCCTCCGTTTGTTCCCAATGTGTCGACACGGGCCTAATGGGCCTTCTTTAATGCCACCACGTTTGGGCTTTTTTCTCTAATGGGCTTCTTCCTGGATAAATAAAAATTTGGGCCCAAAGAGCTTCAGTAATGAGGCTGGCCCAGAGTTCCGTCGGCAGGCAGCACCGACTCACATAGCCGTTGATACGTACGGTTTACCAAATCAACTGAATTTTGAATTTTTGAATTTTGACTTAAAAAAAACGACTAATATCTAACCCCTTTCATAATCCCATTTTAAAAATATATATATTTTAATTATTTAAATTTGAATGAATATTTTTATAAAAAATAAAAATTTATTTTAATTTTTTCCTCGTCAACGGTTCCAAAAACTCCGACAAAAGCAGTCAAGTCGACTGTAATGGTCAAAAGAAAAATGTGGAGTAATCAGTAGGATTAAATGGTCGGTGGGAAAAAAAATTATAAAATGCATAATTAATCTCTCTAAAATTCCCATTGGGTTATTTAATTTTTAATTTTTTTAAAAAAATAATTATTTGTTGTGGGATTATTTTTCAAAGTATTAAAGAATTTATTGAATAGTAATAAAGAAGAAATGATTAATTATCATAAGTTATGAGTAAATAAATATATTTAAAATGATGTTTTTTTCTTTTTTTTTTAATTAAAAATTTAAAAAAAAAGGCAGAAAAAGGAAAAAGTGTCGACAGTTTTTTTCATGCAAAATAATAATAATAAATAAATGAAAATCATTGTGCGTGAATTAAAAAGTTGGTCTGAAAGTAAGAGTTGAATTGTGGAAGCTGACTTTATAATTTTTTCCAATTTTTAAAATAATTTCCTCTCTAAAAGGAATGCCGTCTTTTACTAATTCCATACTTCGCGGAGGATTTTTTTTTTTAAAAGAAAAATAATATTTTTCCCTTTTTAAGGTTAATATATATATATATATATATATATATACCATTTTATTAGATATTTACGTCATTTTGTGAGATCCCATATCAGTGGAAGAGAGAAACGAAATATTTCTTATAAGGTGTGAAAATCTCTCTCTAATAAATACGTTTTTAAAATTGTGAGGTTGACGGTGATATGTAACAGACCAAAGTGGACAATATTTATTAGTGGTGGGTTTGAGGTATTATAAATGGTATAGAGTTTGACACTGAGGGTTGTGCCAGTGAGAACGCTAACCACAAGGAGGATGGATTGTGAGATCCCACGTCGGTTGGAGAGGGGAACGAAACATTTCTTATAAGGGTGTGAAAATCTCTCTCTAGTAGATACGTTTTAAAATTGTGAGATTGATGATGATATGTAACAAGCCAAAACGGACAATATTTGTTAGTGATGGATTTGGGGTGTTAGAAATAGTATTAGAGTCTGACACCGAGCGGTGTGCTAGTGAGAACGTTAACCCCAAGGAGGGTGGATTGTGAGATCCCACATCGGTTGGAGAGCGGAACGAAACATTCCTTATGAGAGTGTGGAAATCTCTCTCTAATAAACGTGTTTTAAAACTTGAACGAAAGCCCCAGAAGTAAAAGTCCAAAGTGGACAATATCTGTTAGCGGTCATATTTTACTTAGTTAGTTCAGTTTGGACTATTATTCTCAGTCATTCTCAACAAACAAAAAAAAAAAAAAAAAAAAAAAAAATCTTAATGCAAAAATTTTAATTTATTTTAAATTAATTAATTAATTTTTAAAATTATAAGGGACCAAAACAAATTCCTTTATTTTTAATTTTTAATTTTTTATTATTTTTCCGACATCTCCACAGACTAAATGCAAGTTACCGTCGGTTAGGTAACTGAAAAGGACACTAATTGTTTTTTTTCGTTACCCTTAAAAAGAGGAAATTTAATTTTTATCTTTTTATTTATTTATTTAAAAACTATTTTTATGCTTCATTGTCGGTTCTCTACAATTTCGTGTTTTAATAATTTTTTTTTTGTCGGAACAAACGTTTAAAATAACCTGTTACTTTTTTCAACGCTAATAATTTAAATTTTCCATCCTTTTATTTGAATTTATAATAAATAATCAACAATTTATCAGCTTAGGTTTTTCCGGACGTAACTTGTCTTAAAGTGTTCGTGACAATAATTTTTTCCGACGTTAGTTTCATCAGCTTAGGTTTTTCCCGATGATTTTGTTAGTTTTTCGAATTCACAGTTGCATTTGAAAAACCCTAGAATTATCGTATGCAGTAATCATTAATATTTTCGAAAACACGAATAATTAAATCAAAATATTTTCAACTAAAACTCATCATTATATTCACAATTCAAACTTTAAAAACGCTTTTTTAAATATGGTCTTAGTTCAAACACGAAGAAGATCGATGATGAGGTGGACGATGAGGTGGACGGATTTCAAAATTTCGACCCGTTTGGTCTATTTTCTTCTTCATTGTTCTTTACTTTTACTTTGGAGCTTTGACCATTTTGAAATTCAAAGTATTTTAATATATTTAATAATGTTTTAAATAAATTAAAATTTTAATTACTTTATAGTTCAATAAAATTGTCAAAAAAAGAAGGTGCTAAAATTGTCAATGAGACAGTCAAAGGTTGAATTTCAATTTTCATGCTCTTTATTTCTTTTTTTTCTCGGGATATTCCAAAGTTTAAGGCATTAAATTCGTGAACCGAATTTCAAAAGTCACGACATAACACATGACGAGTCTTATGTGATTCATGATCGTAATGAACACGATAGAAAATCTAAAAACAAAACTTATAAAGATTTTGCTTTAAAAAAAAAACGATCATTATACGCTCCATTATTTGATAGCTTATAAATCATTTGAATTAGGTTATAGAATAGCTCATTGGATCAACCGTTCATAACAATGACGTACGATATTCAAACAACGTACGTCAAACATGATTTGTGGCATGTTCATTTATCTATCATTTTGTTTTGAAATGACATCTACGTAGCCTCCATTATCAAAGCTGGCTGGTAGTGAACCATCAGTTAACCTAACCCTAATTCGTTCCTGAACCTCCTCGGTAAAGCAGCTCGGTTGATAGGCAAAAGGGGTCGGTCGATCTTTCATTTTAGGTTCTTGCAGCTGAACATGTTTCGGAATATCAACCCGTAAGTCATAGAATTTGTAAAGGAAATAGAAAAGGAAGGTGAAGGGGGACAAGGAGATGTGGTATTATGGTTAGTGTATTTTGTAATAAGAATGAAGGTGGTGCTCTATCTTTTTGATTGTTCCCTTAAATAGAAGCATTACATAAGTGCATTAGTTGCTGAGGTTGGCTCAATTCAGACATTCAAAAGGAGGTGGGGTCTCTAATATGTATACTCCAATTATTACACCCTTTTTCTTTACCCTACATATCTACTCAATCCCGACGTCGTCTTCTATTTCATTCCTATACCTCGTTTATGTCCAAATTAAAGATATACAGGATCGGATTGGATTGGAGAAGTCTTTTGGACCGCCCCGAAATTGGTGATCCAAATAACCCGAATAAAGTTTACAACCCAACTCAGAAGTTATAACGCATCACTAACATCGGTTACAAACTTGAAACTAGGGTAGGGTTGAATTGGGTTGGATTGTAACTCTATTTCCAGGTTGGTCGAGACCCAACTGAAAAAATGTCAACTTATGAATAGACATTTTCAAAAAATTCAACCTAACCCTAACCCGGGAAAAAAAAAACATTGGGTTGTCTAGGTTAGATGAGTTCTCATGTGAGATCTCACATCAGTTGGAGAGGAGAACGAAACATTCTTTATAAAAGTGTAGAAACCTCTCCCTAGCATACGCATTTTAAAATCGTGAGGCTGACGACAATACATAACGGGTTAAAACGGACAATATCTGCTAACGGTGGGTTTAGGTCGTTACAAATGGTATCAGAGCTAGGCATCAAGTGGTGTGTTAGCGAGGATGCTGAGTTCTGAAAGGAGGTGGATTGTGCAATCCCACATCAATTGGAGAGATGAACGAGTGTTAGTGAGGATGCTCGGCCCTGAAAGGGGTGATTGTGGGATCGAGGATGTTGAGTCCTGAAAAGGGTGAATTGTGAGATCCCACATCGATTGGAGAGGAGAACGAGTGTCAGTGAGTATGCTCAACCCTGAACGGGGTGATTGTGAAATTTCACATCGTTTGGAGAGGAGAACGAAGAATTGTTTAAAAGGGTATGGAAACCTCTCTCTAACAGACGCATTTTAAAACCGTGATGCTGATGATGATACATAACGAGCGTGATCAAGACGAGAACGACTCGAGTTCTATGGGTGATGGCATTGGAAGGCCCCATGGCCACAACGGTTGCCGCCACAAGTGGGCATCACATGGAGACAACTTCCCAAACATAGCTTCCATTCTTCCATTATTCATGCTTCATTTTCTTCCACTCTCTCCGACATTCACTCTCTTTTCTCTCTATTCTTTTCCCATTATTAATTATCATTACTTTTCTTTTTCCTTTCTAATCCCCATAACACACTTTCCTTTCCCCTTTCCTTTTTCTCTTTTTAACATGAAACTTATTGCCTTGTCTCCTCTCCTATACAATACAAACAAAATATTTTTCTCATTCCTTCACGTAAAATGACCAAAATACCCCTACTATATTCCAACGCTGCTAAATTGAATGTATCGTAAATAAAAAAAGTTTAAAAAAGAAGAAATTATAAATCCGAAAGTAAAATTTTAACTTTTCAGGTCTCAATCGCACTCTTTTCTTTTTTTTTTTTCCATTAAGCTTTTGACTAACAGTTGAAAATGATGGGATTTGAATCAGCTCATCCCGAACTTAAAAATATATATATATATATATATATATATATATATAAATATTAAAAAGAAATTAATGTATCATCATTGTTAGGGTTAATAATAATTATTTTATTTTTACATGGTTATAATACATAATTATTATAAATAGTATTTTATTGATGTAATGCATAATTACAATAGCAATTTATGTTAATTAAAATTAATTAAGCTAAATAAGT